TTAATAGCTCAATCTTGTTCTCATTCCAATGCACATTTCAATTCCCATTAAACCGCTGTACATTTGCCTTTTTTTCCAGGGAACTTCATGCTCTGGACGGGGAGAATTCCTTATTTAAATGAAGTCCCAGCTAATGCATCATTACTGATTAGGATTCGTGGAAGCGTTGGCACCATAAAAGCGAAAGTCTTGACGCCATTCGAGAGCAATCATCAGCCGGAGAGCCAACAACAACAACAACAAGTGCAGGCCATAAAGTGTCAGCTATGACTAGTGCCATGACACACACAAACACACACACACACACACCAGAAACAGTCAACAGATACGGACACATGCACAGAGATAGGGATAGAACCTTGCCCAGAGATAGATAGATAGATAGATCCATGGAGATGCATGGAGCAATGCGATGCTCAAATAAGAAATGGAATCAGAGACAGCCCGACTCTATGCGACTCCATGCTCTATATTTGGCTCCGTGACGACGTTGTAGAGCAGCAAACAAACAAATTTCCAACACTACGAGCGCGTATCCATGGGTTGTCTAGATAATGGAGGGTGGAGTCGGGCACTGAGGCAGGGGCAGAGGAAGGTCCGTTGTTGTCACGAGATTAAGGCATTTCCTCTTTGACGTTAGCGCTAGAGCTCCCTCTCTCTGTCTCTTTGCCTGACTCTCGCTCTATCTGTGGCTTCTTTAACACGGTCATTGTAATTGCGCACTCAGGCCCAAGCCGATCCCTGGTCTACTGGCTACTGGTCCAGGGTCCAGCGACAACAATTACCCCCGCGGCCATGGCCAGATCTTAGCCACTCAATCAAAGGCGAAAGCCGCCGACGCCGCCGCATCGAAAATAAGGTAGCGAGCGGATAGCCAAAGCAGTCGAGCCGTCAAATTGTTACTCATAATGGATGTTTTTATCAGGCGAAATGATTTCGTCTCGTCCCTCTTCTCCGGCTACTGGACTTGGACTACTTCTTCCTCTCTCTCTCTCTCTCTCTCTCTGGCTTTGTCGGCAATCTTCTGCCACTGGCTTTGATGTCAACGTTTTGGCCATTGAACTTTTAACGCTAGCTTTGGCTTTGGCTTTGTCTCTGGCTTGGGATAAGTCTCTAAGCCTTTAGCTTGAAGATATCTTTATAGGGGAGAGCCTTGAATGATCCGCTGTGCTTATTTGGCAATTGTTTTGTCGAAAATCAGATTTGAATGCATGATCTTGTTATTACACATGCCATCAACACGCATCTCCTGCGCCAAGTGCCAGCTCCATGTGAGCATCGAAGGTAAGCAAACAAATTGGGGCTCGGGAAATATGCAGATTCTTCAGATGGCAGAGCAGTGCCGGAGCAGCCAGTAGCACTTGAAATTTGAATATAATATTGTAATAACTCAAGGGTCTACACAACACAACAGAAGCGCCTCTCAGAGCGTCGCGTCGCCAGCAACTTTAGCACTTCAGTTTGAAGTTGGAGTCGGAGTTGGAGTTGGAGTCGGAGTCGGTCTGAAAAGCGTAAAGTAGAAACAGTCCACACTCCACAGGGGAGGAGGAGAGCAGGAGAGAAGAGTGGAGCGATTCGGGGTCTGGCTCTACTCTCGGTCGGGTCGGGACGGGTCTGGTCTGGTCTGGCATCTTGTGGCGTATTTGCTTATGATAATTTGAGAGCAAACAGCGATCGACAATGTGAGTGGAAGGGAAGCTGTAGCTGGAGTTTGAGCTGTAGCTGAAGCTGTAGCTGAAGCTGTAGCTGGTGGAAAGGAAAGGCCTAAATCTTTGGGGCCGTGAATGTGCAGAAAAACAAAAACGAAACACACGATTAAACACCTCTCAATTATTGGAGGGGTATAGAGGGCAGGTCTGTGTCTCGGGCTGGCTTTGGTCTGGCTCTGGGTCTGCGTCTGCCTGGGGACCATTGAAAGCTGTCAAGTGGCCTGCCATGGACACACATGATTATGATGCCTCCCTCTTGGGTCAGCTGTAGCTGTACTCCACTCCGCTCCACTCCGCTACTGGCTGTGTGGCTATGGCTATGGCTATGATTTAGCTGTTTTTCCTTCAATGTTGATTGAGTCACTTAATTTGCATACAAAAGTAGATTTGCATTGCCCCAGCCAGCCAGCCCAGACGTCGTGTTGCAACAATGGAACTACACATGAGTACATATCCCCATCCACATCCCCATCCCCATCCCCATCCCTTGGCTCAAGTGCCAGACCAGACCATTAATAGTCGTCTTTGGAGGCGCTAGGGCTTGTTCAAACAACCTGACTGAATGACTGACTGGCTGACTGACTGACTGACTGAGCGATCGCTTTGGTTCGCTTCGGTTCGACACTGAATGTGAGCTAAAAGTTTAAATCAATAAATTGCGGATCGTCAATGGTGCCTGGCCTGACATGAGATGGCAAGCGCTTGAGTTGGCGGCGGTCGGGGCATATTTTCCATGGAAAATTACATTGCTTTGGTGGCAGACGTGGATTTATGCTAATTTTAATTTGAACAGCCGTGTGAGAAAGAGGGCTCGTGCTCCTCAAGTGCTCCGATCCGAAGATCTCAGCTCATTTCGCAACTGGGTGGAAAGACACCAAGCACCAGTGCCACCATTGTACACTTACAATGGCAACGAACGCAGTTCAAGGCTGTTCCGTTAAGTTCAGTTGCATGCCCCTATGCTCTCCTGCTTTGATTCCCTTTAGTAGCCTCTATGTGACGGCAGTGCTTGACTGATGGAAGTTCCTTCCACTAAATCGGCACAGGATTCAATTTCTAATCGCCTGCTGAACTGTGTTACAGCCTGCCCTTTCCAGCACACTGATAGCAGTGGTAGCAGCTACCACACTCCCATCCCATCTATGCTGATTCAAGCGACTGGAATGCGTCTGGCTACTGTCTTGTGCCTGGCCTGGCTACCTGTTGGCCCATTTATCCGGAACCGAGCGGAAGTAAGCCGAAATGCATTAGTCAAACAGCAGGCACAGGGGCCGCACCAATTAGATGGGTGCTGACAAATTGCACAGCTATTGGCAGAGCCAGAGACAGCGACCCTGCAGGATCGATGTCTAATTGTTGGAAGAACCAAACCCAAACCCAAACCCAAAACCCAAATTCAAACCCAAAACCCACACCGGAAACGTGCGCGACCAAATGTGAAAACGCGAAGCATAAATTAGAGAGGAGAGCAAGCAAACACATGGCCAGAACGCAATTTGGGCAAAATGCCGAGCTGCCGAGCTGCCGAGCTGCTAATAGTAAATTAATTTCACTCTCTTATCTATGGAAATAATGCTGAACGCTGGCTGGATGTGTCAGGCCGGGAAAGTGCTGTGTAAATTAGCTTGGATGGCTGCCCGAGGAGCGCCTCTGGAATCTGGCAGTAATGTTAAGCAGATAAGCTCCAGCTACAGCGGAAGTGGCTGTGTTTGCCCATCGAGGGACAAACACGAGACTCGCAGAATTCGAGGGAGCACGTGTTGGGGTTCGTGTTCGTGTTCGCATGCCACCCACATGGCGTATGCTTGATCTCCAGTCAAAGTTCAATTAAATTAGCTATTAGCTTTAATTAGTTTCGAAATTTGTAATCAAGCAGCAGTGCGACGCGACACGGCGCGACACGCGTTTCCGTCGTTTCGAACAAATGTTTTGCCAAGATCTCCAAAAGGTCAGATCGACAATCTGTGTATGAGTGTGTACACACGATGCCATCCCAGATACCCACCTGCAACGGCAGGCAACATCATCAGAGCGACGCCATATCGGTCGAGCCATGGAATATACATACATACATACATATGTATGGGTATGTAGTGTGGTGTAGTGTGGTGTGGTGTGGGTATGGAGTATATGCCGCCATATCAATGGCCCGAATGACGCAGCGTCAAAACCGAAATTAAAAACCAAATAAAACAAATGAACAGCAAAACGACAAACACACACACACACACATACAATGCACAGCACGGAACGGCTTGAGCTCGAGACAAGAGGACCACCATGATGGCTACAGCGGACTACAAATGGTCAAAGCATAAAAACAACAACAAGAAAAACAACAAAACAGATGCCAAAAAGCAGAAACAGAAACAGAAAAACAATTTCAATCATGATGATCATAATTAAAAAGGCAACACATGATCGAGGAGGGGCAGAGACAGAGAGTGCGACAGGGGCAACATGTTGCTGTTGCTGTTGCTGCTGCTGTTGCTGCTGCTGCTGCCTCCTCCGCTGACTGTGCAACTTCGCACTTCAGAATTAGCCACAATTAGAGAGGGACGAACAGAGAGACAGCATTCGATGCTGGACGGGGGCGGAGCTACTTTTCAGCGAGAGATATTTCAAAATGGAGTTGCCCACACAGAGCGGGACAGCTAGCTGGCAGAGAGCTGAAGCAACCAATGGAAGAGGCAGTGGCTCTCCGAGCAGAGCAGAGCACAGCGGAGCAGAGCAGATCGGGAGAGACAGCAACAGAGACCCAAAGACCCAGAGCCAGAGCCAGAGCCAGACTTCGAGCAGGTAATGTCGATCAATGGCTCGAAACGAGTCAAGCTCGTTTCCAGCGCGATCCTCTGGGCAAATGGAACGCGAACTTGGCGAGCGCAACACACGACCGTCGGCAAAAATTCATTCATTTAATATATACACTCACATATACTCGCACTTGCCTATATGGCTGCTCGAAATGGCTGCTGCGTTGACACCATCGCCAAATTAAATTAACACCCACGCGCAGCACCTCCAGCGACAGTCATTGCTGTGATTTGAACGCTAATCAGAGACGTCTCGTGCAAAAACCCACATAATAATAATAATAATAGCAGCCACAAGGCCCAAGCCAGACCCAAGCCAGACTAAAAACAGACCGAAAACAGACTCTAATGTTGTCACATGTCTGTCTCTGTCAGTGTGCTTATATTTATGTATATTTGTGTCTGTGGCAACCATTGTGCAAGTGACAAAAGCTAAACAACAGCGCCATCAAGTGTGAAATATATATTTAAGCATCGATTACCCCCCACCAACATGATTACCATGAACGAGCTGGTGGATCTGCGGATGCAGCAGCACATAGCGCACGAGATCTATCGCCAGCAGATTATGCAGCGAATACCAGGTAACATCCACATCCACATCCACATACATATATATCACTCATCCGCCACGTTAAGTTGAGTCCGCTCGAAAAGCTGTTAAGCATCATTAGCATTAATGGCCGTTATATTTGGCGAGCTGCGTTTCTGCCAGGCTGTGTCCGAGACCATAAAGCTGAGTAATGTGGGAAAGTGATGGCTGATGGCACAGAAATTTGATATCAAATGCGTTTTGCTTGTTGCCGCCGATCGTTAAACAGCGGCATCGATCGGTGTCCCTCCTTAAATATTTCATTGTATTTAATCACGATGCTAAATATGGCACACACACACACACACGTGTCCACTCTGATGTAAGCCGCTTAATGGGGGGGGGGGAGCCATTAAGTTTGCCAAAGTTTAAGCTGGAAACAATCCCTGCCCGTATTTATTAAAATTAAAATATCTCTTAACCTTATTCAACCTTTACTTTGAACCCTTTCAGATCCCTTTCCCCCCATGCTGCCCATTCACATGCCACGTCACGTGATCATGCCACCGCGTGTGACACTGCCCGGCGTGGATATGACACTGCAGAACGACGATCTGTGGAAGCAATTCCATCAAATTGGCACGGAAATGATCATCACCAAGAGCGGCAGGTATGTACAGGCAAAGGGCCCCCATCCACAACTCTCTCGCATATCTAAACATGGGGAAGGGCATCGCAGATCGGGGATCAGGGATCGGAAACAAACATCGATCGGGGCGATGCATTAGCACGATTGTGAAAACTAATACCCGAAACGCAGGGCAAAGAAAAACAACCAACCCAGAGCCAGGCGACCACTTAAAGCACCAAGAAATGCCGAGCACCATGCACCGTGTGGAAAGTGGCTCTTGGCTGGTGGCTGGTGGCAGCCATCGAGAGGATGTTGTCGGCGGCGGCATCGGGGCATCGGGGATTGATTGCCGTCATCCGTCGTTGTGGACGGCGCTGCTGTTAAAGGCTCATTAGATGCAGGCGCCTGCAAATTGTTTACAGCGGTGTCGCGACAACAGTTTTCACAGGCAAACAAGGCGGAAGGATGCATTGGCAGGATGTGAAATTGCAGGTACATGCAGATTGCTGCTTCGGAGTCCTCCTGCATAATGCCCAGACTCTCGTATCGCACGAGGCGTAAAATGTACAAGTCCACAGCCGCCACTTTGCGTGTCCAGATTGAAGATAGGAAAATGGGTGAGGAGAGGCGAGGCGAGGCGAGGAGAGGGGAATGAGCATCGAACATCGAACATCGAACATAGAGCAGCGGGGATATCGAGAATCAAAGCCATAGCGCAATCGCCTAGAGATATTTGATCGTGTATCTATCAGATGCACGACTTGGACTGGCGTTCGACTACCTAAAAGTGTCCCGGCACTTGTTCGAATGTGCGTAAAGTGGCGTCATCGTAATTTATTGTATGCCGTCTATGGACGTTGAGCGCAGTGGGACGTCCTGTCGGTTGTCGGCGTTCCTTTTGGATTCGGAGAGTTGGACGGCTGAACGAACGGACGGACGGACATGCTCGACTGGCATAAATCTTTGCGTCAAGGATACTTTGTCGTCATCTTTGTTGCTTTTAGCGTTTTTATTGTGGCGCCTGTCTGCAGACAACCTGAGCAGAGGCTCTGCCCCGAAATATGTACAGGTCCGAACAGTCCAGAGTCCCATTCCAATGCTTTATATGTATCTGTATCTGTGTGTATGCGTATGCGTATGCGTATCTGTCGGATATGCGAGCCAAGCGCACGCCGCTTTGACATCGGCAATGACAATGACCACAGCTTGTCGACAGATACGAGCAATTTCACACTTGGCCCTCTCGGGAAGATGCCCAACTGGCGATAACAGCAGCAGCAGCAGCAGCAGCAGACCGACCCCAGACCTTAACTGTGTCTCCACGATGAGTATGAGGATGAGGATGATGATGACAATCGAAAGGGTTCCCATTCCCAAAAACATTAACATAAACTTTTGGGTTCCAGCAAGAAGTGCTCGAATGCTCGCTCACTGGCCAAAACTCTTTCTCTTTGCTCTCCCCTGCAGGCTGCAGTATACATACATATATATGCCATGAATTATTCATAAAGTCTGCGTATTAAATACTTTTTATGCTCATCAAAAATGTTTTATGTGAAATGCAGTCCAGTCCCGTCCCCGAATCTTCAACGCTGTCTTCCCGTCCGTAGCAATCGATTTGAATTTTTAATGACTAGGCGCCAGAGTGCCACCGTCTGCCCAGTGCCCAGTGCCCAATGCCCAATCCGAATCTAAATTCGAATACGAATCCCATGCTATGCCAAGTGGCGCTCATAAAAACTAATTAGTTGCTTGTCTGGGCCACTCTTGCCACTTGAACCATTAGATCTCTTCGATCTATTTGGGTGGTAAAAGCGCAGACGGACATTAAAGTTAGATGGAACAAAGCGTAACGTTAGAGAGGGAATTAAATGACTTTGTCACGATGCTTTTACGCTGAGACACAGCCCAGAAGGGCGGCAGATTCGAATTCTAGGGTAGCCAGCGTGTTCAGCCTCGAAGTGAGGCTGCCACAGTGGAGTCTGCCAATTCCACATACCTTCATTTTGTCCCTGCACCTGCACAAGCGCCAAATCGAATGCCGTCAAATGTTCAGCATGCTCCTCACTCGCATCCAGGAGGCATCTCACTCGCTCTTCCCGCTTCCCGCCGCTCCTCTGCCCGTTAATTATGCGCAGACGCGCCAAAGATATCGATCTTAACAAATCGTTTGTCCAAAAGCAGACAGACAGACAGACACCGGACGGACAGTTGCCAAAAAGCCAGACCAGAAACAGACCAGCTACAGAGAAACCCAAGGCGAAGATCGTAGGCAGAGCCAAAATTGAAAATGAAATTCTAAACCGCACAAATGTCGAAATATTTTTGGGCTCTTTGCGGCCTAATGGAATTCGAGAGACAAACAGAAACAGAAACAGAAACAGAAAGGCAGTCGGTCAGCATCAAATTAAATGTAAGCAAAGCAAAGCAAAGCAAAGCGCAGCGCAGTCGAGTTCAATTAATTAATCATCGGGGTCCGGAGAAATACAAAAATCATTGCCAAAAACACGAAACAGCTCTCTTTCTCTCTCTCTCTCTAAGCAGCCTCCTTCTGGCTATCGAAGTTGAGGATCGGGGCAAACAGAACAGTTTCTTCTGTATCTGTATGTTTTTTTGTGTGTTTTGGGCTGGCGCCAAGAGCCGTGACCACCTGCTGTGCCTGTGGCAGGGGCCTCGGTTCGGTTTGGTTCGGTTCGGATCCTTGTTAGCACAGGGCAAACCAGACCGCGAAGCAGCGGATCCCTCACTCTATTTGGCTTGGGCTAATTACATGGCGCATGGAAGGGAAAAATCTCACAATTAAATATTTGTAACGCCCACGCACTTTTTGGAATTGGTACAGGGACTGCGACGGGGACAGGGACATGGACCCAGGCAGGCCATGACTTTATTTGTATTTGCTCAGTAAACATCGCTGGTTTTCTTGGATTTCAGACGCATGTTCCCCTCCATGAGACTGAGCGTCTCCGGGCTGGAGGATGAGACCAACTATTGCGTACTGCTGGAGATGGTGCCCATTGGCGATGCCCGCTACAAGTTCTCCGGCTCGCAGTGGGTCCCGGCTGGAGGCGCCGAGCCGCAGAGTCCCCAGCGCATGTATCTGCATCCGGACAGCCCGGCCACAGGCGCCCACTGGCAGGCCCAGCCCATTCTCTTCAACAAGGTGAAGCTGACCAACAATACGCTGGACAACAGCGGCCATGTAAGTGATGAGAGCCGTCTTTGAAGCCATCTCCGGTTACTAATCAATGCACACACCTACCCCATCCCCATGCGCATGCTCATCCCCATCCCAATCCTTGTTCCTCTACAGATTGTCCTGGCCAGCATGCACAAGTATCAGCCGCGTCTGCATGTCATACGCACCGCTGATCTGGCGCAGATTCCCTGGGCCCCACAGCAGGCCTTTGTGTTCGCCGAGACGGAGTTTGTGGCCGTGACAGCGTATCAGGTAAGATTCCCATCCCGAACCCCACTAAGGCTCTTTTCTGCTTTTTTTCTGTTTCTTGCCAATTCATTGAGCACCGAGCATCCTGCACCGTGCACCGAGCACCGTGCACCACACTAATTGGTTAATTTTCGGCAAACGAACAGGCGATCGCTCACGCCATGGGTAGCTTGGCCAGAGTCTCAAATTAGCATGGAACGCCCTTCGTGCTGCGGCCTCTAGGGCTCTCGGGTTAGCTGGGCAGGCAAGAAGTCAGCGCTAGAGTCGTGTCGGATTGTTGTTTTAGGAAGTTGGATAGCCACATCCTTGTAAATTTGAGCCATGCTGTGTTTTTGTCTAGGTCTGGACCCATTGACAGGCGACGCCAGTCGCCAGTCGTCAGTCTGCCTCTAATTAGCGTGATCGCCTGATCGCCTCGCCAAGATCGTCGTCACAAAGTTGTCAAGTCACGAGGAGTGGCCACTCGAGATTGACTGGAACCGAGATGGCGCTGGTGCTGCTGGTACTGGTGTCAAGTGGCCCTGTTACTTAACGCCAGCTACTGGACGCCAGTGGCCAGTGGCGGCTCATCTCTGCCTCTCAATCTCGGTGTCAATCTGCAAGTCTGTTGCTTAAGATTATGTAGCTGCTGGCTGCTGGCTGCTGGCTGCTGACTGCTGACTGCTTTCTGCTGGGAATCGTCATATTTCACGCAATCTCCCTTTTGCTTTCGCCTTTCACAGAATGATCGCATCACCAAGCTGAAGATCGACAACAATCCGTTTGCCAAGGGCTTCCGCGAAACGGGACAGTCGCGCTGCAAGCGGAAGATGTCTTCATCGCCAACCGGTGAAGATCAAGATCAGTCGCTGTCGCTGTCAACGTCCCAATCCCAATCCCAATCGCTTGACATGTCGCCAACAAAATCCAGCGAAACAGCAACGACAGCGGGCCACAGCAACAACAGCAACAGCCACAACGATCTCGGATCGGATGGGCCGCAAATTAAGCGACTGAGATCAAATGGTTCCGCCTGCTCCTTATCCTCGTCGCTGGATGGCGGCGGTGGCGGTGGTGGCGTCGCAGAGCCTGTGCCAATGTCTGTGCCTGGCGCCAGCGCCAGCTCCATGGGCCTGGGCTCACCGCCCCCAGGCCTGGGGCATCATCGCAGCGTCTTCATGCAGCACTTCCAGACGCTGCTGCGACCCTCGCTGGTGGACCTGGCCTGCACGTACTTCGGACGCAGTCCCCACGACTACAATGGCGCAATGCCATCGGCGTATCCGCCAGCCACCATTTTGCAAGCTGCTCTGCCCCCACTTCCTGCGCTGCCACTGCCGCAGGACATTTCCGGTGGTGAGCCGACATCGGATGAGTCTGGGGCGGATGACCTGGAGCTGGATGTGGGGAGCGAGACGACAGCAGCGGCGCTGCAACAGCAGCAGCAGCAGCAGCCAGTAGAGCAGCCGCCGGAACCCTCCACCAGGAGCAAGGGCTTCAGCATATCCGCCATTTTGGGCGGTGGCAGCTAGAGGAGGAGGAGGAGGCGACGAAGGATCCCTCATGGAATGCCCCGCTCTGTTACTAATTCTGATATTACCTTGGCCTGATTAGATCATAAGCTAGAATAACTTTTTATCGATTAAAGTTACTTTTAAAAGCAAAAACAAAAACAAAATACACGAAAATGCGTTTGAAATCCGTTTTGGAAATTCTAATCAGTTACCGGATCTTTAGCTAAATTGGCAGATCGTCCTGCCGGTTTGAGAGCCTTCAAAGCCTCAACGCCCACACTCTGCTGTAGGTAAATGAACATGTTGCAGCAGAGAGAGAGAGAGAGAGAGATCTCTCTGTAGTAGGGAGGCGCCTCTCGAGAGTTGCAATCACAACTTCCGCTAGACATTAATCCCAACCAATTTACAAGATAAACGTTCGAGTTTCAACAACATCATCATCAGCAGCCCAAGAAGACACAAAGATTCGTAGCCTCAGCCTGTCCGCATCCATTAGCCACACAGAAGAGAGCGGATGGGATGGGACTGCAGACTGCAGACTCTGCCTCGGATGTGCCTGGCCAGAACATAATTTGTTTGCAATTAAATAGCTCGACAAGGCATGAAATTCGGTTGCAGCCCTCTCTCTGATGCTACCCCAGAGACCCATTGCATTTTCGGGACTATTTATGAAATGGGCAGAGACTGAGACGAAGCCAAAAAAAAAACGAAGAAGAAAAAATAATACTACGCGATACAAGACAATTTGTTATGTAAGCTGCCCGCAGATCTGCCTTCGTCCCGGAACGGAGCCAATGATGAAGTTTACGATGACATGCGTCACCACCCACGTCTCGACGATGCGCCCTAACTGCAGAGGGATGCCATGGAATGGGGGCGTGTGCAGACGCAGTTGCCTCCCGTCTTCGTCTCCGTATCCGTCTCTGGCCATGTCTCCGCCCGCCCAGGCCATTGCTATTGAAAAAACAAACATAACCGAATCAATTTACCACAAAATCGATTTGAAATTGTTGCTGTTCGGTCGGTTTGTCCCCCGTTTTGGGACGTCTGTTCCTCTGGGGAGACGAGTGCGGTTTTATAGAGGATCGACGGATCGGAGCGACCGAACGGGTGACAGATGTCGGCCGTGTGTGTGCCCCTGTGTGTGTTTTTCTGTGTTGACAGGCGCAAGGTTGTAAGTGCATTGAATGCCTCATTAAATGGCTGTCTCCCCTCCCAGCCCATCCCATCCCAACCGATCCGATGCGATCCAACCCTGGCAGATGTCGCAGGTCTCTGGATAATTAATGCATTATGGCTGTTGCTTTTTACGCTGCCACATTTGTTGTTGCCCCACAGCAGCAGCAGCAACAGCAGCAGCAGCAGCAGGGGCAGTGGCAGTGGCAGCAAGTTGCCTCTTTTTTGTTATGTTATGAAATTAGATACACTTTGTCGAGCAGCACATTTCTGTTGGGTAAACAGAATTGGGGGGAAGTTGTTGCCTAAACGAAAGTTAATTAGTTCTCTCTGGTGCTGGAGTAGAAGGAGTGGGAGTAGGAGGAGTGGATGCGCGGTGCTAATGAGTTGGAAAAGCATTTTACACAGCGCACGCGTGGCTGCCACTTCGAATTGAGACTTGAGACAATCGTCAGGCAACAGAAATAGCAGCCAAACCGAGACCCAGGCTGCTCGATTCATTTAAGGGATTTAATCCAAAGCAAGTGAGCCGCAGGTTAGTCCTCCCTGCTCAGTGTCTGTGTCTGTGGGCCAAGCTTGAGCCTGCGCCCGGCGTTAGGCAAACACAGGACGGGACGGGAACAATGCATCGGTACTTGAGTTCTTATTGTTGGCCCATGCAAATATATTGGTCGGCAGGAGAATGCAACAAAGCGTGGCAAAGAAAGAAGGTTTCTCTGTGTCGCCGGGGCCAAGCCATAAAACGGCTGAGAGCTGAGAGCTGAGAGCGGATGCACTGACCAGCCTGGCCTGCGACTGAACCTCAAGTGGTGTTTTTCGCCTAAGCCCAGGGTTTTAAACTAGAGCAGAACAAACCCACCAGGGAAAACGAAAAGGAAGGGAACCAAAAGGAAAGGCAAGGCAAGGCAAGCAAAGGAAAGCAAAAGAAAGGAAGGACAAAGGACGAGCGAGCAGTTTATGCAAATGGGCTCACATGTGGGCTGGCATGTGGGATCTGGCACTCTCTTCGGGGAGGGGATGGTACAATTAACAAAGCGTGTAATTTCTCAAGCCTATCGCGTGAACAATGGCACAAACAATTAGAGGATAATGAAAATCACCCACATAAGCAGGCCAACTATAGTGTGCTCTATTCTGCAGTTCATATGTCCACAGATCTATGCAAATCTGCGGATCAGTTCGAATAAACTCGTACGCATGGGCATATGGGGGGAAGGGAACAATTACAAGCGAACAATGCACAATGGCCGTCGTCAAGTAGGCATCCCTTTGAGGATTCACTCAAGTATTGTTTACAAGCCTATTGAGTGCAAAATGCAGCAGCATTACAATATCTTTTACTTTGCACGGCAACCACAAGAATCAAATTTAAATTCAAACTTAAATTACTACGCGCCCGGCAGAGGGAGCTGCCAACTAGGGCGTAGGAACACACACATTTTAATTAAGTTGCCATCCCCATTGATCTGTCATTTGGACAAGTGCGATGAGAGCGAAAGAGAGAGCAATCTGACGCTTATCTCTCTGTCCCCCCTGGCTGGAACTGCGCTTTTCGCTTCAGAATTTATTAAAACAACGCTAAATCCAAACAAAAGCCTAAAATGAGTGACTCCTCCGATATAGAAGACTCCTCCTATCACTCCTTCGATAGAAGCAAGTCGTCCGACCACTTGGACGCTTCGTCGTCGTGTGGCAGCGAAAATGGCAGTGAAGATGCCCTGCAAAACCTTGTAAGTACATATATCTGTAAAATCCATCTGAATAGATTCTAAAACTACTTAATGGGAGGCGCAGACCTATGGCCTCTCGCTGGCGTCGTCATCAGAGGACAGCTACACTATTAAGTCGTCCAACTGCACCACCATAACAGACCACGATTCTTCTATTGAAAATGGCGATGAGACTTCGGCAAGTGGAGCAAAACAATTCGAAGCGTGTAATATAATTGTAACTTTTGCATAGGTTGTGGAGCCACAGAAGCAGAGGAAGCCAAAGGGGAAGTTGTCGAATTGGCATAAGGGTTCGGGGAAAATCAGTCCCCGAAAAATGCCCCCAGTGTCGTATGTGCTGCCCAATGTGGAGGCATTCAGTTTGGATCGACCCACATCGACATTGAAGGAACGCGTAGTAGCCGGCACCAGCCGGAAAAGTGAGGCGACGCAAAAGATTTTGTATACTGGCAACTGGGTAGACTCCCAGCTAATTCAGCCCAAATGCAAAGTGTCGCCTCGTAAACAGTTTGATTTGGTCTTTGATGCCTACAAGAAGAATAAAAGTGCGAACAACTACGCGTCTACTTCTACATTTGATCAGCCGAAGGAGACTGCTAGCACTCAGCAGACAGTCTCCTCGAATCAGGTAAGTTCACAAATCATGGAGTGCCATGATGAATATTGACTCATCTTCTATGCACTTTTCATCAGTCGAAGCCTGTGGAGGAGGAGGAGGAGGAGGAATATGTATCGCCTTTCAAAGATATGCCACCACAGCCCCGTCCAAAGGAATCACCACTGCTGGCTGGCCAAAAGAAGCCACTTGTCCTTCCTGCTGGCTATGATCTGAGCTCCTTGCAAGTAATTAAGAATCCGAATCACTGGTCCCTTCGTCCAGGCGTTCGTACTGGCGATATAATTTATTAGTAGTACAACAGCCGCCGCGTACACATATGAATATCAAATCTCTCATTTTCAATAAAGGCCAAGGAGACCTTACCAAAACAATTAAAGCGCCAAACATCAGCATCAGCGACTGTCAGATGGCGCCGAAGACATAATATCGCCAGCGTAGCTCAGGGAATGGTTGAAAAGAAAGGAAAGGAAATGATTTCATTGTGCTGCCGATAAAATTGTCGCCAGCGAAAAATGTTGCCCGTGACTTTGATTTTGGCCGCCACAACATTAATTTCCAAGGAACTTGCACATACACGAAAGAGAGCAGCCAAAGCACACACACACACACACACACCCATACACAAGGCATGGGACAAAAAAGTTGGCTTATCTGGCCTGGAAGATCGCCGAGAGCTCGGGTCGGTGCTCATTTGACTTTGACATGCGAACGTTTGCCCCAGCACCAGCTCCAGCATGGACTCTCTCTCTCTCTCTATCTGTGGCATTGGCTTTGAGTCTTCTTTGCCCTGCCAGTGGATCGGATACCCCTAAATGAGAATTCAATAAATTTCAGCAAAAGCCCCCAGCAGCAGCATCGGCAGCATCTCCAGCAGCAGCAACAGCAACAACACAATGGGCGAACCGTTGTCGTTAGTCTTTTGGCGACGTTTAACATGAATATGCAGTGTGGCTAATGTGGAGCCCATAAACACTTCCAGCGGCAACATGAATGGCCTGCAGCCCCCAACAGATGTTTGTGTTGGGGCCCCAACGAGCACCGAAAACAGGTTGCTGCTACGTGTGTGGGTCTCACGGGCATGGCATCCTGGGTCCATCGCCAGCAATGGCAATGGAGCGCTCTTAACAATTGTTTCTTAACGCGAATTGAAATGAAATGCCACCGTCGAAGATTGGTTATTTGGCCAGGCCAATCATCGCCGGCCAGAGCTCGTCCAACACTTGCATCGGGGAGCTGGTAGCTAGCTGCAGCTGGTTCAAAGGAACCGCCTCATTTCCGTTGGCCATTTGATAACATAAAGAGATGTGTGAGGGACGGGACACCCGGACAATTGCACATGTAAATGGCCACAGTTGCTAACAACTACAATGTGAAAACATCAATTACACGGTACGCGGGGGGACTGCGAGGTGAGAGGTGGGGATCCAGGCTGGTTGGCTGTGTGGCTGTGGCTGCGACTGCGACTGCTCGCCAGGATTGCTGGCGATCGTGGCGCTCAATCAGCGCATTTAACTTGGCGCTGGCGCCAGCGTTTAAGATGCGGCTTGCTCTGATCTGCTGATAAGCCATGTCCATGTTGTTGCAGTGCTCTGGCGGCTGCCAGGAGAGCGGCTCTTGGCTCTTGGCTCTTGGCTCTTTTTCGGTTGGGGATTTTAAAGGCGGGGGGGCCAGAGGGCGGACCACGTCTGGCGATGTTGGAACAGGTTTTAATGGCTTGCACGAGACAGAATTATGTACGGCTCCGCAGACGGCCAAATGGAGGCATGCAACAAATTTCTGAATTGAAAGAACAGGATGGGTCATGGGAAATTATTGTGGAATGTATTCAAATGTGCGACGCACGGGCTCTCAGCTCTCTGGTGAGATAGGGTCTTCATTGATACGGACAGACGGACGGGACGGATAATCCCCCCACAGCAGCCCCACAAAAAGTGACCACCAAGCGATTCGTTTCAACTTCCATTTGGAATATGCAATTTTATTTTATGCCATGCCGCATTAAAATGCCAGAGACAATAAATCCATTACGAAATAATTTGCACAATTAAAATTGCATAATAAATACGATAAATACTGATGGCAAATACCTGGAAATCCTAATTAACTGCAAAATATCACAATTCAACTTAGACACTACGATGACGATGACGACGACGATGGCGATGGCAACCTAACGCTAATTAAATGTACAATGTGCTCCCGAAATGGGAGCAGGCGGCTGGCTACTAACTACTAAACGGAGACGCTCGTTCCTAATATGTCCGAGATGCTGAAGCTGCTCCGTTTGGGCTTTGGCTGTGCAACGGCGGCAACAGAAGCCGCACACACAGACTCATGTGTGCCCGTTCTGCTGGTGCTGTTGCTGTTGCTGGTGGTGATTGTGTTGGTGCCGACCACATCCACAAAGGTGTCTGTGTCCGCCTCGGCCGCCGACTCGCCACTGAAGGAGGACGACGACGTGGAGGAGGAGGAGGCTGGCGATGGCGGGGTGTAGGCCCAACTTGGATAGCAGGCAATGTGTCTGGCATACTCAATGGCATGCGATGCCGCTGCCGTTGCCGATGCCGACGGTGGCGGTGGCGGCGCTGGCAGATAGAAATTGGCCTCCAGAGTATCCAGCAGATAATGACGCTGCATAAGGCCGGACTGCAGTTGCGCTGTGGATCTCTGTGGTGGATGCATCGACAAATCATCAGCGAAACGCAGACGCTTGGCTAGAGGTGAGTGCTCCACACTGGTTCCTCCTGCTGTGGCCGCCGGCTGCGGAGGCGGCGAATCGTTTAGCTTGCGCTTGCACCGCGACTGACCCGACTCACGGAAACCCTTGGCAAAGGGATTGTTGTCGATCTTCAGCTTGGTGATGCGATCATTCTGCAGGCACACAAATTTGGGGAAGATTAGTTCTCGACTCTCACAGGGACTCTGAAGTGCTTTCTGCAGTACACACCTGATATGCGGTCACGGCTATGAACTCCGTCTCGGGGAAGACGAAGGCCTGCTGCGGGGCCCAGGGTATCTGGCCGAGATCAGAGGTGCGTATGACATGCAGACGCGGCTGATACTTGTGCATGCTGGCCAGGACAATCTGTAGAGGAAATATGACTTGGTTTAGTAACCTGTGCAGGGTGAGAATCATCCAGATCCACTTACGTGTCCATTGTTGTCCAGGGTGTTGTTGGTCAGCTTCACTTTGCTGAAGAGCAGGGCCTGCGACTGCCAGTGCTTGCCAGTGGCCGGGCTCTCCGGGTGCAGATACATGCGCTGTGGGCTCTGGGGCTCGGCTCCGCCAGCCGGGACCCACTGCGAGCCGGAGAACTTGTAGCGGCAGTCGCCAATGGGCACCATCTCCAGCAGGACGCAGTAGCTGGCCTCCTCCTCCAGGCCGCTCAGCGAGACACGCATCGAGGGGAACATGCGTCTGTGGGCGAATAAAATGGAAGTTAGCGACACGTTGACACGGCGATAAGATGGGAGGGCTTATCGCAATCTCTTGCTAGTTAACAGTCGACAAAGTCGGCCACAATTTTTGGAGATAAGATGGAGAAACAAACAGTCAAATAGGGGGAGTAGTACCAACCTGCCACACTTTGTGATGATCATCTCGGTGCCGATGTGGTGGAACTGTTGCCACAGTTCGTTGTTCTCCAACTTGGCCTCCACGCCAGGCAGTGATGGCTGCGGTGGCGGCGGGGGCGCAAAGTGCCCAGCAAAGGCCGGTAGAAGGCCGCACAGGGGATCTGCAGGGCAACCGAATGGATTAGTTAGTGCCGTCGGCAAATCATCCATGGAGCTTGCTCCACTTACCAGGCAGCCGTTGCATAATCTGATGGCGATAGATCTCGTGGGCGATCTGCTGCTGCATGCGCAGATCGGCGATGTTTGGCAGGGCCAACATTTCGTATGGATATCTCCTCGGGGTGTGATGTGTGCCTGGGGATTACGAGGCTACTTTCGATGGCTCGAATCGATCGAACTGCTTCCAAAATTCCGAAACGTACAATAATTGAAATGTTTTTGAGGCGCGACTCGAAACACGAACTGCTCGTCACGTTGTCCAGATGAGACTGTTGCTCTCAGCAGCGGCGATCGCACTACCTCGATTCTGCCAGAATCCGGTCTGCGCTCAGCCGCGATCTCTTCAGGTAGTAGTTGCTCGACCTGTTTCTCCGCTCAAGTGGTGTGTGCTGCTGCTACTACTGCTGGTGCTCTCCCTCTGCCGCTCTGCAGCTCAGGCATTGGCTGTTAATCTGTGGAACGTTTCGTTGTCCCGCTCTAGCCGACGACCCGGAACGCCATTTTGGGTCGTGCATTCATATGGGGGAATGGAATGGAATCTCGTTCCCATTCTCCCCCTAGTTATGGGGCACGGCACCCATATTGCCGTTGATAGTATTAATGGGGGGATTGGATTGGGTTGGATTGGGGAGCGCTCTTTGAAGTAGCCTCCTCCTAATCGGTGGGCTGTAATATTTATGGAAGAGGAAAATGCTTTGGATGTGGGCCAAATCCGAATGCTTATAAAGATAAAATTCTATTGAAAAAGAAAACTTTGGATATTGAATCAGGTTTATTTTTTTTCAGATGGGTGGTGGGGGGGGGGGGAAATACTACCTTTTCCTTTGATTTGTTCTTAGTTCCCACAGCTCCTTGAACCTTTGAAAATCTTCCCACAGAATGTTCTTCAATATTAAGGACCACTTTCTAATATTTTCCATTTTCATCATCAGAATTTTCGAGTGCCCACTCGACTCTGAAAACCCTTCGTAGCCAGTCGTACAAAAACCTTTGATATCCGTCGGATATATCTCTATACCCCATCTGTTCGAGTGCAGCTATTTTAACTTATCTGAAATCGGACTGGAACAAGCTGCAGCTTGTACTATGTGCTAGATCCAAGGAAATCTCGCCGCTACCGTTTGCTTTGCCTAGGGACAGGGACACACAAAAGAGATCCGCCCCTTGATAAGACGAGCTAATCAAACCTTTAAACGGTACTTGATGCCGGGCCACAACAAATTGCACCGGCACCAAGGCGAGAGGGAGAGGACATCGCATCACATATTGCGACTGGCGCCAGGCGACTGTCCTGTCGCCTCTGTGCCACTTGAATATTATGGGTCGCCACAGCAGCAGCAGCAGCAGCAGTCACTTGTTGCCACTTGTGCTCCTGGTGGCGGTGGCAGTGGCGGCAAAAACTCACAGGCGAGTCATAAAAATCATCACACTTTGTCCCAGGGATGCTGATGCCCCGATGCTCGGGAACAATGCGTCTGCGTCGTCGTCGTCGTCGTCGCATTGATGGCATTTTATGGCCTGACGGTGCGACGACCGCCGACTGTTAGCGTCTGTGCCGATTTTGTTGTTGAAATTATTGTTATGATTATTGGGTCTGTTTTTGTGGGTCTGTTCTACAATTTGTTTGGCATTGTCCCTAGCACCCGTGTCTACCCGAGATCCAGTTCAAAAACAAAAACCGCAAGAGCACATCACTGGGGAAAACGGAACCCAGCCGTAAAGAACAATTTAATGATTGTTGCACTCGAATAAAAATGTCAAATAACCTTCGAGGATCCAGATTTAATGCGGGTCAGCGGGATAAGAGAGAAAGAGAGAGAGAGGGAGGAAGGACTAACCCAGATCGCATTTCCCATTGCGACGATCCCAAGTCATTAGTCAGCCGAAATGCATCAAGTCTGGACATGCAATTTCCGGTAATTTGACCAGCTTTGCTTTGCATAAACTCTTTGCAATATTTCCGGATTGCTTATCCTGTTGAATGTCGAATGCGGAATGCCTAAGTGCATTCGACCCTTGTCGCCTGTGTACTTCTACTTCCAGTGTGACTCAGGCAATTAGCGGATGTCCAGGAGCCAAGACCCAGGTTCCAGTGCCATCGTCAGACGGATTTGTGTCATTAGCTCGCGCGGACTCATCTTCATTTTCATTTTCATTCATTGGTTGAGTCGGAAAAACCCGGGGAAATTTGAGCAGCGCTCACTAATTGCTGCCATTTCCCATTTCCATTTGTTTGTTATCTCAGGAAACGCGCTTAGGGGAAAAATCAGATAAACAGCAGCGCGGCTTTACATTTTGCACATGAATCAGACATTTAGATTTATTGTTGCTGTTTTTTTGTTTTGTTTTTCGTGGTTTACAATTTAACTCCTGACCTAAGCCATACATATGTGTGTTTGGATATCATTTAATACTCGTACATACACATGTACATACATGCATACATATATGCCATAGTTTTAATAGATTTCCTCCTCCTCCTGCTCAATATTTTCTAACCAAAATCGAATTATTAGTTCTAGTATTTGTAATTCAGCATTGATTGGTATTCTGGTTGTGGTGTGTAAGTTAACACTCCCCACCAGCCATAGGGTATCAGCAGGGGTCTTAGTTATAAGAATGCTGACCCAGCGCTGGCATGGAAAGGGGCGGCAACATATTACTATGTTGCATAAACATCCGCCCGACCAACTGGGTCCGCACGAGGCGCTGAGGCAGCGAAACTGGAGACCGCTGCTCGCGCAGCGCTGCCCAAGCTGGGGGACTTATGCATAATTATATCATTTTGTACTTTTAGTCTTGTACTCACTTTGAACCGTGCCAGTTGGCCGGAATAAAATTACATAAAACATATCCGATCTTTCTCTGCCGATGGCTAATGCCGCGGCTTAAGTAATGGGAATATCGAATAATTAATTGGCGCCCAACGGGTCAAACTAAGTCGAACCCCGAGTTAACGCGAGTGTCAAAACACCGCGATAAATAAACCAAAAGTTTAAAAGCAAGAAAAAGTCATAAAAATAAGGGAAAAATCCCCGTGAAAAATTCCTCCGAAATACTAAAAAGAAAATAAAACAGAAAAGTGTAAAAACAAATTTCCCGAAAAAATTCCTCCACACACTAAATGGAAAATTAACTAAATAATTACAACACAAACGAGTGAGAAAATAGGAGAAAAATCCCCGTGAAAAATTCCTCCGAAATACTAAAAAGAAAATAAAACAGAAAAGTATAAAAACAAATTTCCCGAAGAAATTCCTCCATACACTAAAGGGAAAATTAACTAAATAATTACAACACAAACGAGTGAGAACGTTCCATAGTGCAACACCCGAATGAAAATCAAAAACTAAAACAAGGAAAGAGCTGAAGGGTAATCCCTCGCTCCCATCGAAAGATCTACAAGGAAAAAATAGGCTGAAGGGCCCTCCCTCGCCTGGAAAGAGAAAATATAATAACAAAATCTACACGGCTGTAGGGAATTCCCTCGCCCAACGTTACGGATCCAAAACGCTCAACCGGTGCATAGTTAGCTTAACCAATCTAATCGCCAGAGTAAATATAGGCTGTAACAATGATGCTTTTCTGGGTACTTCACTCTCTAACAATGGTCGCGGCCCGCATCACCGACTATTCACACTCCCGTTACATTCCTATTACAGACGGGTCGGTATTGGTATGGGAGGAATTAAACTACATCAGGCACACAGCAAACCTATCAGAATATGGCCGCATTGCCGACGAAACCGTACAGATGACAGACCTTTTCCCAAGATCTCACATGAGACAACTGCTGGAGGTTGACTCCAGCCACGTCAAGGATATGTTAGAAGATATTGGCATTCACCGTAGGCTAGCGAGAAGTTTAGACTTCCTAGGGACGGCCCTCAAGATAGTGGCCGGCACGCCAGACGCCACTGACTTAGAAGATATCAAGGTTACTGAAGCACAGCTAGTCCATTCAAATAATAGACAGATAGTAATAAACTCAAAAGTTCAGAGCCAGATAAATAACCTCACAAACACAGTCAACCAGATTCTTAGCACAGAGAGGAAGGAACATATCAACTCAGCCCATTTGTATGAAACACTGTTAGCTAGAAATAGAATTCTCATCACTGAATTGGGGAACCTAATGCTCACAATCACCTTGGCAAAAGCCAACTTGGTAAACCCTTCTATTCTTGACCATGCTGACATAGAATCCATTCTCACTAACCAATTCACAGGGGTTACAGTGTCAAACTTGTTAGAAGTATCCAGCATTAAGATCTTGCAATCAAATCATATTATCCATTTTATTATAGGGTATCCTAGAGTAAGTTTAGCCTGTAAGAAGATTATGATGTACCCGGTTGAGCACAACGGTACAGTACTGCAGCTAGAGGAGAACATCGTAGCCGAGTGTGAGAGCCAGGTGTGGGCCGTTACGGGCTGCACCTCCACTACCACTAATACCTTCTGCAGAAAAAATCTGGGTGGTTCCTGTGCGCAGGGGCTACACTCCGGAGGCACGGCACATTGCAGCTCTCAACCCAGCCACCTGGAACCCGTCACCTTGGTAGATGACGGGGTTATTATCATCAACAACAGACCCGCCACCATCAGTTGTGATTCCGACACGTTGGTTGAAACCTCAGGAACGCAACTGGTCGCCTTCAATGACTTTGCCACCATCAATGGCTCTCGGTTCCTGAATCGTGACAACACCAAACGCCGGGTGCCCGGCATCGCTTCGGTGCCCGTCCTGAATATCACAGGGCACCACGCGGTCCTAAGCCTACCATTCCTCCAGCAGCTCAGCGAAGACAATCTGAACTACATTAAGGAGGTCGAGCGAAACGCAACGGGCAAGGGGAATCCTATCCTCGCCTTTGGTCTAGGAATAACCCTGTGCGGAGTCATCGGAAGTATCGTCTACATCAGATCCCTACTCAGGAAGAAAAGGGATTTGGTCCAGGTCAACGCGCTTATAGAAAATTTGAGAGGCTCGAGGGCGACCACTCTTGAAGAGGGGGAGTAGTTAACACTCCCCACCAGCCATAGGGTATCAGCAGGGGTCTTAGTTATAAGAATGCTGACCCAGCGCTGGCATGGAAAGGGGCGGCAACATATTACTATGTTGCATAAACATCCGCCCGACCAACTGGGTCCGCACGAGGCGCTGAGGCAGCGAAACTGGAGACCGCTGCTCGCGCAGCGCTGCCCAAGCTGGGGGACTTATGCATAATTATATCATTTTGTACTTTTAGTCTTGTACTCACTTTGAACCGTGCCAGTTGGCCGGAATAAAATTACATAAAACATATCCGATCTTTCTCTGCCGATGGCTAACGCCGCGGCTTAAGTAACGGGAATATTGAATAATTAATTTGTACACTTCGTTTAGTTCGTAGTTTATTATAGTTTTATCACAGCTATACGTTTATATTTATTTGTGTTCTTTTTTTTCCTTTCTTTCTTTATAATTGTGTGTATTTTTTTGGGGGATTTCCTTGCAATAAACAAATTTACACCGAGTCTCTCCTACCGCGAGAAATACTTAAAATTGAATAAATAACATAAAATACGAATAAAGCACAGGGGGGGGGGGCGGAAGGTTAAGGAATATGTGCAAGAGAGTTCAGCATGATTGTCGCACGGCAGTCCCTGATATGTGGACAGTCCACCCGACAGACGCGACAGCCAACTTACGACAGCTCGAAGCCCGTGTTGCTGCTGACAGCATAGCGGAGTTTGTCCCGCAGCGTGGACTTTTTCTGATAGTTCGGTAGCTTCAGCAGATTGAAGCAGGTCGAGGAGGTGGGCAGCCGGTTGAGCGGATCCTTTTTGCGTATGGTGAAGAAGCCGCGTATCACACTGCCTATGGTGTCGCCAGTGTCCTCGTCGTCGCCCACCTCCACGCAGCGAATGGAGAAGGGCGGCTCCAGGTGGGCAAAGCCCAGCAGCGGAGGCTTCGAGCAGCTGGTCACAAACTGTCGAGTAGCATTTGCATTAAAGAGATGGCCCTAGACGCATGGTATTCTTTGAGGTACACTCACCTTCAGGAACAGCTTGCGCTCTTCCTCTGTGAAATCCTTTCCGAGAATGTCCCAGAGCCAGCCAACCACGCGATGCGAGTCATGAAATCCGCCATAATACTGCGTATGCTTGCGCAAATCTCTCAAATCCAATGGCGCCGTGTCGCCCGAGATGAGACGCTGCAGCTCCGGGGGCGAGAAGAGCGACAGCCACTCGGGATTGACAATGCTGCGAAAGCCTCGATTGAAGGCCTGGGTCTGCTCGCGGATCTGGGTGTTCATGTGGAAGTAGGCCATGTAGTGGATGTAGACCAGCTTGTTGTGATCGTTGACCACACGCCCCTTGCCACCGGGATGCAGTTCGTGGGTGACAATCTTGCCCATCACATCCTGATCCACGGAGAAGGTCAGATTCAGATCGGCCACATCCTGCTTGTAGTGCTTGATGAAGGTGAGACTGCGATAGAGTTCGGCGTCCAGCGAGGGCAGCTCATCCATGCAGGAGTAGAGGGCCTGCTGCGTCTGCCCCAGCAGCTGGGAGAGGAAGAACGAGGCGAAGGGCACATCCACCACGATGCCCTCGTAGACGGCCTTGCCCAGCATGCGGCCCACGAACTCAAAGAGCTGCAGGTGATTGTCCTGCACGTAGGAGATCGGCGATGGATAGAGTCGTTGATCCGAGGTGGTTTTGAACAGATTCAGCGATGGATCGAACACCTTCTTGATTGTCTCCTCCAAGAACTCCTTGAACACACCGTCCTGATCGATGCCTGCCTCGTGCAGTCCCTGCTGATTGATGAAACGCACCCGGATGACGCCCTTGAGGGCATGCGTGGGCTGGGCGGCCAGCTGTCGGTATCCATCCTCCACAATACGCTCCCGATGGATGACGATCAGCGCCGAGCGCGGCGAGGCACAGGCGCTCTCCGTCAGCCCCATAACAGCCTTTTCGTTTTGCACGAATTTGCGGAACAGCTTGACGCGATCATCGTGCGGTATTATGTGCGGCATCTTGGCCAGCAGCAGCATGGCATTCCGCTTGGCCTTCTCCAAATCGTTGATGAACGTGGAAGGCTTTACTTCCGGTATGAGCCAATGATTAGTTGGCGTAAACGTTCGCCTGCAGTCGCGACGATACAGACAGAGCAGGAGAGTGTGCAGCGAGAGAAATACCGGATTCTGAACAATGTTCTTGGCGCCTGCAAAGGGATGCAGAGCGGATAAGTGCATGGATTGCGCTGCGCTGCGCTGATGACTAAGTGCAAACTCACCCAAAATGTTATCGTTGATCAGCTTGTACAGCATATTGTTCAGAAAGTATGTCAGCATGACATAATCGTTTAGCCGAAAGGGATTCTGCTCCGTGTACATCTCATACTCGTCGAGAATTCTGCACAGAAATGGAAATATATAGCCATGGATGTGGAATAAATTGTGGATCCACTCACGTAACATAGTGCGTCATGCAGTCGCAGAATAGCATCAGCATGGCTGTCTGCGGCTTCTGGAGGCTGGTCTCGCTCCTCAGCAGATCCAAATACTCCTTCATGCCGCAGTTTGGGCCCAGCGACGTCAGCAGCAGCCAGATGTCGTAGAGCACATTGTCGTTGTAGCAGATTCCCGTCAAAATGTCCAACTTCATTTGGGAGAGCGTGCTGAGGGCCGCATAGTACATGCCACAAATGCGCGACACATGCACCACATCGGCATTGTCCAGCTTCCGCCACGGCTGTTTGGCCTGCTTGCTCTGCTTGCTGGCTGTGCTGCCGCCAATGAGTGTGACACCGCAATTGGAGCTGCGCTCTAGGGCGCGTCGCAGCAAATTCGATGTGGATGGCTGCTGGGGAGACTGGAACTCGATGCGCTCGTAGTTGACATTGATTTCCTTCAGGACATCTCCCAGGAGCACCTTAATGCAGCGGCTGTCCCACAGCATATGGAATTGCTTCTTGATTAGTGCCACATTCTGATTCTGGGCGGGCTCCGTGCCGGGTGTGTGCCAGCCAAGCAGCTCGTGCCATTGCGTGAACACTCCTTTGGTGCTCACCGTGTTGGGTATCAGTTCCAGCAGCGTTGTGGTGGTTTCCTATGCAACAGAAAGAGTGTAAATTGCGTAGGAAAACGTATGTGATGCTACTTACAATCAGTAATGGATAGGCCAGTACTTTGGCCTCCGCCTGGCCATCAATGTTGAACAGGTTGACAATGTTGCCCAAGAACGCCAGGGACTTGGTTCCCGGCATACTGGCACCGAACTCCTCGAACCATTGGAAGTCCTCGGAGATGCTCAATGCCTTCTTCAGCAGGCCCATAGACGAGAATTGTTCTATGCACTGGGGCACGCTCTGATTCAAGTGATATATCAGAGCCGGCACAGAGAGAATCTCCGATAGAAACTGGCTCAACAGGTTGCGACTGTAGTCTCCGTCGATCAGCGGGCGCAGACAGAGCGTGATAATGGCCACGAGGGTCACGGATTTCACGGACAATTCCTCGCGTGCCGTTCCCCGCAGCAGAACCAGCTAAAGGACGAACATTTTAAGTACTTCCCTAGCGGATAAGCGGATAGGACTACTCACCCGCATGGATCTGTAGAAACCGTGCTGCACCAGGTGCCCCTGAATGTTGCAGCAGACCTTCTGCATGGCAGGCTGGAGGCCTCCAAATGTGGCATTCCGCAGTATGGCCCAGGATTTGGGGGCAGTAAACACAATCAGGGTGTGCAGGAAGAGGGCAAGCGACAGGCTGTCGGCATGATTCTCAGGCTTGAGCTCCGGCAGCAGCAGCAGGCAGTTGGTTAGCAATAGCTTGATGTGCGCGATCCAGGGTAGACTGCGCTCCTTGTGCAGGCAGAGGGCCGCGTAGGAGAGCCTTGGATTCTCCGCCTCCATGGCCTTGTTGACATAGCGGCAGATGATCTCTAGACGCTCGCGTGCCTTCATATCCTTCTTGTCCAGTTTGATTTGCGTGAGATACCGACGGAGCACAGGATACACATTAACGGCAGTCAGCTCCAGTTCCGTATCCTTGTCATCCTGTCCGGGCACAAATACCGCATCAAAGTCGTTGCTACAAAGAAAGTAGAGGCAGTATCTGTAGTAGAGGGTGCCAATGGGGATGGGACGTGGGCTTACATGATACGCTTCTGATATTTCCGGCGCGACGCATATCCTTTGAGTGTAGACTGCAGCAGGATGGCGGCCGACTCACGGCGCTTCTCCAGCGCCCGCTCCTCCCTGGCCGCCTTCGTCTGCTCCAGGAAGCTCGTCTTTTGCGATTCTGTTTGGGCAAACATTATTTTCGCTGTTTGTCGATATACGCTGCAGCGCAATGGCAATGGTGTTGTTGTAGTGTTTGTGTGAGTCTCGTTGGGATTTTCGCGTAACTAGTGGTTTATTGCGGTATATAGAACGTGCATGAACTGCTGTGTATGGCAAAGCTGTTGGTCATATCGTTTAGGTGCATTTTTCATTTTTATTTATTATTTTATTTTTATTTATTTATTTTTTATTTTTTTATCATAGAGGTGTCAAACCATCGAGGGCACTATCAATAGTATCGATATTTTACTGCTAGCCTCTACTATCGACAGTTTTGCGACTATCATGATAGTATCGAGCTACAGTCGTTGCGCTTTTGATATTTTTGGATTGGCTGCTATAAAATACGAAGACACATTTGTAAACAAATTGACAGGTGGCATCTAATTTGTAGAATGGACAAGTTCCTAAATGGTTTGAATGGTTTTTTTATAATTATTTGAGCCCGATACTATCACGATAGGCTGACAATAGCCGACTGATTTAATACAAAGAATACATATTGCTCGCTGACAAAAGCTGACTGATATGAAACAAAAAAAATTATAATTGCTACCCAATTGCTGGGAACGTACGCTGAAAACTTAGCTACGCCACTGCATGGTTAGTGATCGAACTTATCCCCTTTGACCCCAGTCTATTTAAACTTGATATAAACGGCGGAAAATAAAACTGTTTGTACATTTTTTTTGTACATCCACCTGAACTTTGCTAAAATTCTTCAAGTTTCAGAACATTTGTGGGCATATTTAAATACCCACTTGTCGAAAGTGGGTAATACTCTCTGCACACTGAGTCCATCCTGGGGGAACGGTGGGAATTTTTGAAAGATGTGAAACACCGATTCACATTGACACCATCCACCATCCACCATCCATGAGAAACAGCTGTTGCTCACAATTGCGTGAGGTGAAAATTTGTTTACTTTAATAAAAATGCATATAAATAACATTTCAATGGTCGTGAGTGTGATTCAGCAGCAAAACATATTCTTGCACAAGCTAATCATGTTGTTGGACATGGACGATGATGATGAGGATAACTTTGACGAGGAGGAGATAATAGAATGGATATCTGTTTGAAAACACTGAAGCCCGGAAGGTTGTGGTCATTTGTGAGTGCTTCTAATAAATGCAACCAATGTTTAAAGTACAAATATATATGTTATGTTTTTCAGAAGCGGCTCGGTACATTTTGGGAGAAGGATGTACCCGAAAACAACGAGGCGTTTTTTAAGGAAAGTTTTAGGATGGAGAGATCCTGCTTTTCTCTGTTGGTTACTCGCTTGGAAGTGCTACGGAAGAAGGACACAAACTGCCGAGCTGCAATTCCTCTGGAGAAGCGTATCGCCATATCTTTATATACTTTGGGATCTTCTTCTGAAAAGAGTGTTTTTCGGAGTGTCAGCCAACAGCGTCTGCAATATCCTGCATGAGTTTTGCAGAGCATTCATCAACGAATTCTCAGAGGAATACATGTCCAAAAACTATCTCACTTCAGAGAAAATTGACGAGTGTGTCCAAGCATTTGAAGAAATTGGGTTTCCTCAGTGCCTGGTGCAATTGGTAATAATGCAATAAAATCATCCATAATATATGTATATACATATATGTAAATTAATTTCATCACTTAATTCTTATGTTAGATGGATGTCACATCGAAATAAAACCACCTGCAGCTTATATATTTGATATTTTTTTATTTTTTGCGTGCTTTGTGAGATCTGATGGGGTTATTTTGTTTTATTTTTATATTTTCCTGTCTGTCATTGTTTACATTTTCGTAGTGATCTCCGATTTTTTGTTGTGAAATATGGTTGCATTTGACAATTATCGAAAAAATACCGCACTGAAACGTGAGAATTAGGAACATCCCAGATGGATGGTGGAATAACTGGGAAATTTTCGGAACGGCAAAACCTTACGGACCATCCCAGAAATGGATGGTGGATGGTGGATGGTCCCCAGTGTGAAAAGGCTATTACATGGTTTTACACGAAATGTAGTTTACATATAGCAAATTTGTAGTTACCATGTAAAAAATATACATTTTTGTTGACCTGTTTTGCTTAAAACCTTTTTTATAAGCAATCCAATAAACAAAAGTACCTACAATCAGCCAATCTTATAAACAGATATTTATTTTATTGAATAAATGATATGTTTAGTGCAGATAGTCCTAACTAGCTAGTAATACTTAACCGAATATCAAAATCGCGTAAGATCATTTCCCTTTATCATTTTTTTTACGGTTCTTTAATAGAATGGTGCGTTAAGTGGGTTAAGGTGAGCTACACTCAGTTGACAGCACTGTAAACTTATTCAGTTCACAACACTACCGGGCAGCAGCACTTTCTACAAGCGTTGCGCGTTCGTAAATAATTAATTAATTGCTGAAAATATGGAATAAACGGCAAGAATGTTCATATAACCACATGCAACAGCAGTTGTGTGCAATTCTCTATCGCGGCTTGGCAAAACGAAAAACACGTTGCGTGGACGCGCAGCAAATGTGTGGCTAAAAAAGGCGATGTGTAGTTATGATTTAGCAAAAACAACAAGAAAAGCAGCCAGAAAGCGCTAATAAAAAATACACACATACATATAGCGAAGGTGAAAATTATAAATTAATAAATGTGCGCTCCGATAGCATATCAAATTAGCGAAATATGCTTAAATTTCGTGTTTCGAAGCAATCCAAACTGTGAATTGCAACAGAAAATAATTTCAAGGTTTGCAGGCGAATAGAAAGCAAAAAGGTAATTGAAAAATAGAACGATTTTGGCACAAGCGCAGTTGTATAGCTACAGCTAGCTATATATTTTTGTTGTCTGGCCGACGACGACCATGGTTAGGTGGGTGGGGCGTGATTTTGGGGGCTTATATATATGTTCTGCATGTGTGTGTGTGAGTCTGTGGTGAAAACAACAAACCGCCTGTTCCTCCCTTCCCCTTCCTTGCACCAAGAGCAAAAGACGGAACGGAAAGTAAGTGTAAATGAAAACAATTGTGTGCAAAGCCAGCAGCAGCAGCGGCAGCGACAGCATCGGACTGCGAGAAGAGAGTAGGAGAGCGAATTCCTCCCTGCCTGCCGCCCTGTAACGTTGTCTCTCTCTCATGTAATTTGCCGCAATTTTTGCCTTTGCATTGCAATGCTTCATGCATTCTCAGTGTGTCACACTCACACACACACACTCGCATGCAAGGTCTCCCCCATTTTTCTGACAGCAGCAGAGGCAGCGGCGACGGCGGCAGCAGCAGAGCAGCATCGTTCCTTTAGCTGTCAGAAAAAAAAGGCGCGCTTCGTTCCGTTCCCGTGCCCGTTTCGCTCTCTCCTTGATTTTCGCAAGCTCCACCATTTTCTAAAACGCCACACACTGCTGACGCCAGCGCCAAATCATTTGCCATCATCTCGTCACTCTGCCTGCCGGTCATCCTCCTCAGTGCTCCCCAGAGTGCCTGCTGTCTGTTGCTTGTCGTTGCAGCATTTTTCAGTTCAGTTCTCATCTTCGTTTATTTAATACAAACAAAATTGTTTTCCGTGGCGTCTAGTTCCCTCTGTATTGTGTATTTGCTCAACTACAGATAATCAAATTTATATTGTGCATGCTAAAAAAATAAGTAAAACATGCAAAACGGGTGCGATCGCGGCTGAACGGGCACAAAATTCGACAAACAACGGACGCCGCATTGTGAGTTTGGTTTCGAATTCTCCCCCCAAGGTCTAGAAGGATCAGAGTGTTTATATGTGTGCGTTTGTGTGATTCAATGGTTTATTGAACTTTAGGAATATTGCAGTTATATTCAAAGCCGGTTAAAAACTAACATAACCTCAACGATTGGATCAGATCAGCCATGCATATTTACCGTTAGTTTGCAGCGCGAGATAAGTGCTCCATCTCTCATTCCATCGCCCCATATTAAGTGTAATGGTGCATTGGCTTGGCAACAATTAAACAACAAGAAATGTGAAATTTCATCCAAAAACTTAAATATAAAAAAGTAAACATCAGTAAATTCCCCAGCACCGCGTTTAATACAGTAATTGGGCCCCGTTATGTTTTAATGTCTGCTTACAGCACACATACACACACACACACACACACACCATATGCACCCATACAGAGCGCAGCTGGGAGAGGAGTGGAGCGGGGTGCGTCGCCTCGGCTTTAAATTATAACAGTAGATAGCAAAAGCAGAAAAGAAAAAAAAATCGAAGAAAGTCGCAAAAGCAAAGGCAACAGAAACAAGATTCGAAATGAGCACACAAAAGCAATGAAAATTAAATGAAAAGCGCGAACTGCAAAAAACCTAACCAAACTTCTTGACAACTGCAGCCTACCGTCCCTCCCTTTGGCATAAAGAAATCGAATTCTAATGATTTCCTATTTAAACTGTTTGCCATTTTATTGATTTACCATCGGAATCGAACGCGAAAAGCAAGTCGTCGAAGGTGTTATGTATTTGCTTGCTGTTTATTTGCTGCCCTGATAAGCCCCGATCGACGGACTGGAACGGGACGGGACCCATGGCAAATGCTAATTTACCTTTTGCCAATTACAGATAGATTATTATTGTAGCCAGTGCTGGTGGTGGTGCTGCTGCTGCTGCTTGGGCTGGGTGCTCTTGTTGTTGCTGTCGCTTGGCTTGTAATTTTATTAAATTAGCGAAAAAATTGATTTGATTAACTTTTGAGAGCTGTTTTGCGGCTATGCCTTGGGTTTATTTTATTATCGCCCAAGTGCCACAACAACAACAGCAACAGGTGACAAATTCTTGGAAAATATATGTGAAATTGATTGATCACGTGGTTGTGGGATTGTATCGGATGGGATCAGTAGGGGTACTCTACATAAAATGGTATACCACTCACTAACGAACACAAATATTTCTTTTGCAGGAACGCAACCAAATAATCCAACAAAGAAGCCGCCACAGTTGCAATACCACCACATAAACCACACTTAACATATTCCCAAAAACGGAACAAACTACAAACCGAAACAACAACGAGATGAAGTACTCAACTGGCACAACAGACAACGCGATGTCCTGCGGCATCGACAGCAACTCCAACTGTGCATTAAATGATATGCAGCCCACAACCTCTACACCCACACAGGCACACTCCCATAAGGAGGCCATATCTTCGACAACGCCCGCGAAAACAGGCGCTGCACAGACCACCCACACCAATAACAATACCATTGCCAACAGCAACTGCAATTCCAATCCCCATCAGCCGGCGAACGAGCTGTTCTGCGAGCAGGTGACCACAGTGACAAATCTCTTTGAGAAGTGGAACGACTGCGAGCGGACTGTCGTGATGTATGCGCTGCTGAAGCGTCTGCGCTATCCGAGCCTCAAGTTTCTTCAGTATTCGATCGACAACAATTTGACACAGAATCTGGGCACCTCGCAGACGAATCTGAGCAGCGTGGTCATCGACATCAATGCCAACAATCCGGTCTACTTGCAGAATCTGCTGAATGCATACAAGACATTTCAGCCCTGCGATGTGCTGGATGGCATGTCCTCCTCCTCCTCCGACAAGGACTCGATGCCGTGCTATGGCAGCGACTTTCAGATCACCACCTCCTCGCAGTGTGATGAGAGGAAGCTTTATGCCCGCAAGGAGGATATACTCCACGAGGTGCTGAACATGCTGCCACTGCTGAAGCCGGGCAACGATGAAGCCAAACTCATCTACATGACCCTGATTCCGGCCGCTGTCAAGGACACCATGCAGCAGATTGTGCCCACGGAGCTGGTGCAGCAGATATTCTCCTACTTACTCATTCATCCGGCCATAAGCAGCGAAGATCGACGATCGCTTAACATCTGGCTGCGACACCTCGAGGACCACATTCAGGCAGCCGCCGCTGGTCTCACGAATCGCAGCTACTTCCTGCAGCCCTCGCCACAGTTGGTGGCGGGCACCAGCTCCACGGGTAGCTCATCGGCAGCTAGTTCCTCGGCCGCCTCCTGCTCGTCGGTGGCCTCTTCTTCGCTGAGCAACCTGGGGAGCAGCTTGTGCACCACTAGCAGCTCGCGATCGTCGCGCAGCAATGACTGGCAAACGATTGCCCCGCCCAGCAAGCAGCAGCAGCAACAGCAGCAGCACAAGCTCACCGGAGGCGATTGGCGAGGCAGCGGGGGCTCCAGCGGATCGATCAATCCACTCTGTGATAATTTAAATGGTATTACCCTGAACGAATTAGCTTCTAGTCAGAATAGCTTAGGCCTGTCGCTGGACAACAGCTCCTTGCTGGTCAACAGCGTCGTGGCGGGAGCGGCAGCGGGCTCAATGCTTGGTATCGGTGGCACCGACGACCATGACACGTCATTCAGCAAGAATGGCACGGAAATCCTCGACTTTGAGCCCCCCACTCTGGCAGATGTTGGTGAGGCCAGCGGCATAAGCAATCTCTGTCAGCAGGTGAGTGAAATATAGGGAGAAATAGAGTAATCCTATCAATATACTAAATGATCTCTTACAGCCTCCCTCACATCATCATCATCCACAGTTGCTGCAACCGCCTCCGCCAGGTCCACAGCTGCCTTACGCCTCGATATTGATGGGTAATGTGGGTGATCAGTTTGGTGACATCAATCGCTGGAGTCTGGACAGCAAAATAGCCGCCCTGAAGACGCGTCGTTCCAATAGCTTGACCACTCAAACAATCTCCAGCTGCTCATCGTCATCCAACTCCTCGGTGATCACGGTCAACGACAACTGCTCCAATTCCACGGAGAATCTGGCCCAGTTTGCCAACAAACCGAGGAGTTTCTCCCTCTCCATTGAGCATCAGCGCGGAGCTTTGGCCAACAGTGGCTCGGATACGCGGCTGGACGAGTTCAAGCCCGGTTACATCAAGTTCCAGACCCGCAATGTGGGCATGTCGGGGATAGGCCTCTGGCTGAAGTCCCTCCGACTGCACAAGTACATTGAGCTGTTCAAGAATATGACCTACGAGGAGATGCTGATGATTACTGAGGATTTTCTCCAGAGCGTTGGCGTCACCAAGGGTGCCTCCCACAAGCTGGCCCTCTGTATTGAGAAGCTGAAGGAGCGCGCCCACATCCTCAGCAGGGTGGAGCAGGAGCTGCACACCGGACAGATGAAGCTCAGTACGGCTGTCGAGGAGCTCACACACATTGTGTTGACGCCGATGAAGCCCGTCGAGTCCATGGGGCCACCGGAGGAGAACATTGGTCATCGTTTCCTCAAGGTCATCGACTTGGTCAGCAATGCCGTGCAGGCGGATCCCTACTGTGTCCAGGACGATGAGACGATGGGTGTGTTCATGTGGATTCTGGATCGTTCTATTCATAACGAGGCATTTATGAACCATGCCAACCAACTCAAGGAACTCAAGTTTAAGCTGTCCAAGCTGAAAATCTCAATGGTCTCGAAACTGCACCATGTGAAGACTTCCGGCGTACCCACTGGCGGCAACATCAACAAACCCAGGTGCGTTTCCATCTTTGTTTTTAATTCTTTCTAGTATTCTAATTGATTTGTGTGTTTCAGATGGAATGGCAAGAGTCGCAAGTGTGATCCAAAGAATGGCAGCAACGATAGGATTAACAACCGCAAGAACTCCAACGACATGCTGAATTTCTCCCTTAACTGCCTGCAGCATCCCGTGCCTCATCACCAGCAGCAACAACAGCCACCGCCACCGCCGCTACAACAGTTCGACTACAATGGCTACGGCGGTCCGTCGCATCAGCCACAGTATAAGAGCTCTTCGTATCCCAGCTTTATGAACAATCCTCAGCAACAGCAGCAGCCACTCAAGTCGCATCATCATGCCCAGCAAATGCAGCAGATGCTTCAGCAGCACAACCATTTCCCGGCCTTGCCGCAGCAGACGCCCCCGCAGACGCATCGTCGCTCGCTGAACAACCTCATTTTGGTGACTGGTGGGCCACAGCAGCCGCAGCAAATGATCTTCAAGCCGGGCCAGGGAGTGCTCACCACCAACAATGGGTCTAACGACAGCCTGGTCATGGATTCAAGAAGTCAGCAGCAGCAGCCACGCAAGCCCAGCCTAAACGGCCTCAGCGGGAATGGGAGTGTAAATGGAGGAGTGTCCAGTTCGGAGCAGCATCCAAAGAAGACCATGGCCGCCGTGGTTATGGTTAGTAGTAATCAGAGTCAGGAGTCGCAACAAAGCGATCAGCAGCTTCCGCCGCAAATTCTAATCAACAACAACAATAACAACAACATACTGAACAATAATTTGATTAACCAGCAACAGCTGCAATTGCTGGCGGCTGCTGCCGCTGCAGTGGGCAGTGGCAGCTGTCTATGCCCAGGTCCTGGTGGTGGCGGCGGTATTGGGGCCTGCAGCAATAATCTCTGCCAGCAGAGCAGCAAGAACAACAATCACACTGCAGATCATTGCCTGTCCCAGCCGCAGCATCAGTTAATTAGCCTGAGCATGGCACCGCACGAATATAAAATGAACGACTTCAAGAGCCTGGAACAGCTCGAGACGTTGTGCCGCCAAATGACTGAACAGGCAATGAACTGAGCCAACGCTCGCTCTATGATGATTTTGTGGAATTTTGTGGCTGCCAGCAGTTTTTTTGTGTTCACTGCGTTTTGAATATTGATTTCAAAAACGAACATGAATGTGTTTTTATATCTAGTTCTGTAAGAGATTCGCCTATATGTTTTGTGTCGCGTCGCGTCTAATTGTAATGCTCGTTGTTCCCCCACAATTCCCCCGCCCAGCCCATGCAAGTTTTGTAATCGTTTTTAGTTAGTAAGCTCTGATAGTTTGTTTATATGTTAAGTTTATAATTGTGTGCCAGGGCTCCTCTGTGTGTCGTGTCTGGCCCGCTGGCGGTGCCCGTAGCCCCCCCACAGTCCAACGGCTGGCCGTTGGAACTGCGACAAGAGCTCTAGCTGCTTTCGCGCCTCCCCCTCCCATGAACGAACTCCCCTAATGGAGCCTGCGCCTGTGGCCGGGCTCGGCCAGCTGGCTGGCTGGCAGCAGAGATGCCTCTTTGGCGGCCAATGTTATTAATGTCGAAGTTTTGTAAATGTTGTCGCCATTTGTAGTTCAACTAACACGCCACGCCCCAACAACCCCACACACACACAAAACACATCACACACACACACACACACACTATATCACACCAATCACTTCTCTCTTATGTAGGAAAATTTGGCCAAATTTGATCAACATTTTACGCTATTCTAACCACACAACAATAACCAAGACAAGCACACAAAACACAATTCACGTCGCCAAACAAAACAAAACAAAACAAATCCGATACCCGCCCCCACAAGAAGACGACGAAAGAAATGGTTTATCTAGTAAAAATTTACATAATGAACTCTGCATCGTGACCATGAGACTGACTAAGATTACTTTTTCGCAACTATAAACACTAGAAAGGAAGAAGGAGGATGAGACCTGGATTGAGGAGAGGGACTGAGAATTGAGAATTGTTTGAGCGAATCAAAACACGTTGCTTGCTGAATGAAGTAGAACTCCCATATAACGGATGTGTACACATATACATATACACATGCACATAATTTATTTTAAATTTAAAGGAACATATTTGCTGAACACCGTAAACTACAAACGAACCAAAACAACCAAACCAACCTTCGAATAGGTTTCGAAATGTTTCAATGTTTGTGTTTGTGAGTTGGTGAATTGAATCGATCGGAACTACATATTGTATTTTGTATAAGTAAGGCATAAACTACCCCCGCCCGACCCCCCAACCAACCCCTCACCATGTACGTGTTTGTCGGACATCGTGTTGCACATGCAGCCGGACGAACGTTCATGAGATCATTGTCATTTGTCTTCATTGATTATATATCTATCTGTAACTATACGATTAATGCTATGTTTCGCTTTAGTCAATTGTTTATTTGTAAAAATGGCAAGCCAATCCAATCGATCGATTTGTTATGTTTCAGTTGTTTTTTTTTTTTAATATTTATACATACGACTATATATGTATGTACTACGTCTGTAGATCGCATCCTAAGCTTAAGACGGGCAGAGCTGAAAACGATAAGGCAGCCAAAAAGAATACCCTAAGATACGTAGGACCGCGTAGACTAATCTTATTTTATTGTAAAAAAGCTGAACAAACTGTAAGCATGGAAATTTGATTGTTTCCTCATTATCTATTATTTGTCCATAGTTCGAAATACTTATTGTAAATTGCAAATGCTTTTATTTATAAAACAAACAACAAATAAACGAAATAATGTACGGCCAGACGAGTAACAAAAAGAGAAGCCGAAATAAATGTAAATGTATATTGCAAACTAGCGAAAATAGAGAGTTCAAAGTTATCCGCAAAACTATTGTAAAAGTTCAAGTTAAAGATTGTCATGTGCCACTACCTGCAGTTGGATGTGGACGAAGCGGAGTGGAGGCAGGTGGCAGGGCATGTTGAATGTTTGCCGAGACGGAGAGAGAGCGAGAGAAGGGCCTGCAGCTTATCAAATGTGAGCCCCCAAACCAAGCGTGTACCTACCCTACACATATACACACATACAATACCTACCATATATATATTTATTTTAAATAAATTATTTCGAGAATTAAAACCGCTCTCACTGTTTACTTGATTCCCCCACAACCTAACAACGAAGGTTGCCATGCGTCTGGGCCCCCCTGTTGTTTGGGCGTAAATCAAACTCACAACTCGACTGGGATACTTCGTATCGAAGCTAGCACACGAAAACGTTCAGCAATATTCTATAATTTTTCCCAAGCTAAATTTCCTAGATTTACAGAATGAGCCGACATCGCTTTAACAATGTGCAGCTAAAGGCGCTGCCGGGTGCGTTGAAGGTGGAGCAGCAAGAGCAGCAGGAGGATGGCGAACAAGGCAGCAGCACGGAGAAGTTGCCTATGTGGCCAAGTGAGCGCATTGCACCGGGCGGTTCTGGAGCCTTTCACTCAACCAAGGTGAAGTACAGCAAGGAGACCTCTGAACTGATTCGTCGTAAGTACCATCAGACGCGTCTGTCCTTACCCGTTATTGTGCGGTTCTACCAGTTTCGAATTCCCTCAGTGCTCGTCAAGGAGTCCAAGATGTCCATATTGATGCGTAAGCAAATCGATGAGAGCCTGCGCAATGGAGAGCCATTGCCGCTGCCCAAGCCGCCGCGTCCAAACACCAACAACGACCCAGACAAGGAGACGTTGGCCATTCTCGATCGCGCTCGCAATGCCAAGCGCAAGAATCTGCGCCAAATTGAGGCCAGTGGTGCCTACCACACAAGCTACTACCGCCCACCCACAGACAATCGCATGGCCGGGGAGAAGGCCAAGTCCCAGCTGCAGTTTACCATGGCTGGCACACATCTGGCCGATCCGGCCGTGAAACCGCTGCGACGTCCGCGTGAGGAGCCGCTCGTAACAGAGGAGGATATAATAAACGAACGTAAGTGGAGAGACGCTTCCGATTGGGATCGTAGTTCAATTCCTTTCCATTGCAGTCTTGGATCAGATCAACGAGCGCGCCATGTGGCTGACCGAAATGGAGTCGTTGGGCCAGGGCAAGAAATATCGACAGGAGATTCGCGATCAGATATCCGAGCGCCTGCATCGCATCCAGGCCTTGGAGTCCAAGATCAAGATGAAGTCTATGGGTGGCTACCGTTTCGTCGACTAACTGTGTTAAACTGTTATATAATCTATGTGTTAAATGTTGCTTTTGACCCTATTGGGCGCACCCAGAGAAACGAATAAAACCAATTCAATAAATGCCAAGTTACTCGTAGTGTATGTTCCAAATTGATAATTTTGTGGGGACTTTCAGTTAACATTTGATTAATAATAGCTTTATTCAACCTTTTAGCATTTGTATAATTTCGATTCCGTTAAAATTTCATTCGATCTGGCACATATTTAATACACACATTTTTAACAATGTAAGAAGCCCAAACTCAAAGAATTCTCCTGCATGGGATTTTGGCAAAATGAGCATAAAGTACGATGTTAAAAATTCATAAATTTAATTAAAAATATCGAATAAGTTACTGAAGTATAAGTATGTGTATATGCATATATAGAATATACAGCTACCATATATATATATCTGTTCCTACGCTCTACCTGTTGTGGTTGTTCTTGTATATATATATATATACGTTATGCACGCATCTGTTAGTTCAAAGTTTTAATGCTCCATTCAAAAATAGATATTTGTGACCCTTTGCTTGTGCTCAACCATAGATGCGACCCTCGCGATTCGCTCAACACGACGGCATGTGGCAGCGGAATTCGCTAGCCGCCTCTGCGAAACGATTGCGTATCAAGTAGCCGCTAATGACCTCGGCAACCTCGTGTGGACGGTCCTCGTGCACGGCATGCCCGCAGCGTGCCAAGACTTGCATTTGGAAGCGACCCTGCATTTGGCCAACGGTCAAGGTCCGATCCAATCCGTCTATGCTGGCCAAGAGAAGTTGCTTGGGCAAACGAAGATTGAGAAACTTGTCGCTCAGGCCTGAGAACCAGCCCACCCAGTACTTCTCCGACTTTGACAGATCGATACGCCAAGTGTAACTGAAGAAAAAGTGTGTTAAAATACCTGGCGTCTGTGTGTTTAAAGAGCTTACTTCCTGGCAGCTTCAGTCGCCTCTTTGGTCGTGATGGGTTTCTTAAAGTCAGCGCCAGCTGCGGCACCGTCGACGCTGCCTTCCTCGCCATCACCCGGAGGCGAAACTTCTTCATCTTCGGAAATGCTAAACGAATTTGGAAACATGCTGGTCTGATGCGCCTCCTCCAGCACGTCATCGGGTAAAGGCAGGTCATTCGTTGCCAGCTGATTCGTTGCACAGCTGAAAATGGGCGAGGCGGTCAGGCATTTATGAGATATGGCTATGGAACCTACGAGCGCACTCACTTGATTATCTGCCCGGGCATTGAGACTTTGGCACTGTCCACATTGCGCACCTGTCCGCTCCTTATGCACCATTCGATTGCATTGGGAATACTCTGGAAATACTTTGGACGGGAGCGGAGGAAGCTTTGCATGCTGGCCAACGCCTCCATGGCCGTGCCCTCAACAACATCGATGACGGTGATGCCGATTAGATTGGGCACCAATGACATGGACGCGAAATGGACTGCAATGGCGCCTCCCATGGAGTGGCCAACCAAAAAGAGTTGTGGCACTTCCTCTGGATACAGTTTAAGTATCAAATCGCCAATATCCCTTGGGATGGTCAAAAAATCAATACTAACGAACACCGGACCTCCCATCAAGGACTACCACTCACTTTGACAACGTATCTGCCGAGAGGTCATCCTCGTCGTCCACCTTGCTGTCCCCGTGGCCTCTCAGGTCAATGCACAGGCACTGGCAGTGTATCATGCTCGTCACCTCCGACTGAAAGTTAAATGAATAATGGAATTATAATCTCATCTGCCAGACACGCAGGCAAAAAACAGCTGCGGAATACATACACAAAAGTGCGCCCAGGTGAGTGCCGAGTAGCCACCGCCATGTAGTAGCAATATAACGGGGCCCGGCTTTTCGGGCTTCTTGGTGCGATAGACACGAAAAGTTCGCTGCTCATCCACCGTGACATCCTCCTTTTCGGCAAAGAACTCGTTCCACATGCCCGGCTTGTAGTCACGTATGCGCGACTTCTTGAAGGAGTCTCTGCAATTAACCAATTTGGGTATTAATTGGATGCTTGCCATTCTACTGCATAGTAGGTGTATCCCTCCCCCCTCCCACGCAATAGCAGCATCCTAGCAAAAACTTACGCTCTACCAATGCGTCCGCTCGGAATGGTGGGTGGCAATTTGCCCTTGAGCATGGTTCGCTGTAAGCTCGACATTGCGCTCGATTGTCTCCGCAGTAATACGCAACAATTGGGATAAATCAAGTGCAGGACTTCTGTTGCTTGGAATTGTTTTCAAAATAACTAAATAAATCTATCTCGCAGTGAACGAACTTAACCCTCCAAAACCCCCTTTAATTTAAACAGTTAAAAACCTAGAGTTAAGTTCCGGAAAATAATACTGTTTGTAAAGGCTGCTTGTAGCTCCTTCCTCCTCTTTACTTACAAAACAAAAATGACCACCAATATCTTTCACCTGTAATGCGTAAAATATGTTTAATTACATAAATTTCGTGGAAATACTAAATACCCCCTGGTCGACAATGGGTTAACGTTATATTTTATTTATTGAAATCGTATTCCATAATTTTGATATTCCGTTTAATATTACCAGCTAGCTGGGACTCTCAGCCCTAAAAAAATAATTTTATCCGATAGATGCATATATTTTTTAAGAGATTGGCAAGTTTTCAGAAGTCCTTTTTATTGGATTATTTACATATTAAGGTTCAAACAAAAACAGCATAAAACGAATTTGTCGTCGTTTTGTGGCGCTGCCAGACTCGTGCAATTCGTAGTTGCTGCGGGCTGCCATACCGTGATATTTTGTGATATGAAATTCGTCAATTTTGATATTCAGTTTAATATTACTAGCAAGTTGGCCCTCTCAGCCACAAACAAATAATTTTATCCAATTCCCCAATGGATTTTGTTGAGGATTGGTAAGTTTTCAGATGTCTTTTTTATTGGATTATTTACATATTAAGGATCAAACAAAAACAACATAAAACGAATGTGACGTCGTTTTGTGGCGCTGCCAGACTCGTACAATTCGTAGTTGCTGCGGGCTGCCATACAATGATATTTTGTGATATGAAATTCGTCAATTTTGATATTCGGTTTAATATTACTAGCTAGTTGGCCCTCTCAGCCATAAACAAATAATTTTATCCGATTCCTCAATCAATTTTGTACAATATTGGCTAGCTTTGAGAACTCCTTTTTATTGGAGTTCAAACAAAAACGACCAAACCCATACCCTTACCACCCAGAGACGTCATTGTTGTTGCTGGGGCTGCCAGACTCGTGCAATTCGTAGTTTCTGCGGGCTGCCACACCATTATATTTTGTGACCCGTTTCATTACCGATTCGCTTTGAACTGATCTGGCAGCCCTAAAAACAAAAATCCATTTTGCTTACATGGTAAAATTAAAATATCGGTATTTGTGTGCGATAAATTCGAGTAGTGATCGATTAGTTGTCTGTTGTCTGGCAGCGCCAAGAATTTAAAAATGTTTGAAAGGTAAGGGCGGGTCACTTCTCACTTTGAATGATCACCTTAGCAAATACTTCAAAAACTAATGATTCCGCTATGGAAAAACCATCTGTTTTTAAAAACCATACATTAGTATTAAATCCATTAGTTGATAAGAACAAGAAAAGTATACATTACAGTAACCTAGTTAGCGGTTAACAATATGTAAACAATACTTTCAACCAGTTGCGTTGCTGATTTCAGAATATAGACATGTACATACATATACTCCTACACATACATACTCATTCCCAGGCTAAACAAAACGGAAACGGTGCAGGCCGGAATCACGCATTTGCTGGTTGGAACTCGTAGCGGTCGCACCAATAACACAACTAAAACTTTTCCTCTGATAACGCGCCAGGCGCTTCTTCAAGTGTTTTGTGACCTATAAAAAGAACGATAAGAATATATTGGGTAAGTAAGTACGAAACCGGTATCGTGCATTGCACTGATAGAGTATGGCAACGTTGCATATCAGCTGTTATCCTCTCTCTCTCTATCTCTCTCTCTCCCCCAAATTCTCTTTCAAATGCCGGCAATTGCACTTGTTTGTCTCAATTAAGACTTAAATTCGCCTTAAATTACTTAAATGGCTCCACAGTGAAACAAAACTTCCCCAACTGATAAGCGGCATGTTAGACAATCAGTTGTGTTAATGGATGTTTTGACATTCTGATAAGGTGAGATTATCAGATTACTTTTTTTTTTTGCACCCCCTGACGGGGGTGTGTGTGTGTTACACATTTATTGTGGCTAATCAGCATTTAAATATGTTTTCGACTTAACGAGTTATGACTGTTTGGTTGCGACACGTTTACGGTTCGACGCTCCAGCTGAAAAACAACCACAAAAAGGGTTTATAATTAAACGTTTTTATCTGTTTTGCAGGTAAACATGTCTGCCAATGGAAATGGAGCTGGTGACATTCTGGGTCCCGGGATCGAGATCGTTGCCCAACAGAAGCTGAATCCACAGGCCAAAATTTATGACCGCCTGCAAAAAGTGCGAGCCTTTTTCAAGGAACAGTTTGGTGCAGAGCCTGATTTCTTTGTTCGCGTGCCAGGACGGTGAGTCCTTTCCATTTGTATTTCAATCATTCCTATAACGGATGGCATCTTTACCCAGGGTAAACATTATAGGCGAGCATGTGGACTATTGCGGCTACTCCGTGCTCCCCATGGCCGTCACGCAAAGCATTGTGCTGGCAGTGGGCAGTAATCCCACAAAGCATCAATTGCAGCTGCGCAATCTGGACCAGGCCCATTTCCAGAACTTTGAGTGTGACTTGAAAAACCTCAGGTGGGTGATTATTTCCCCAAAATTAATAGATGACTAACGAGTTACGTTCTAGCGTTGAGCTGCCACTACCTGGGGGACCGGCATGGTATAAATACTTCATGTGCGGCGTCAGAGGCATTGAAGAAAAGCTGGGCAGCAAGAAATTTAGTCCCATCGGAATGCGCATTGCAGTCGACGGAAATGTTCCTCTGGCCGCTGGTCTGTCCAGTTCCAGTGCCATGGTTAGCTCCTCTGTGCTGGCCACAGCGCATGTCCAGGGCATGCAGCTGGATCGCAAGGAGCTGGCGTCCATTTCGGCCAAGTGTGAGCAGTACATTGGCACCCATAGCGGAGGCATGGACCAGGCCATTGCCTACTTGGGCCGCGAAGGCTGTGCTCATCACATCGAATTCCATCCAAAGCTCAATGGCACCCCGGTAACCCTACCGGCAGGCAAGTGCTTTGTGGTGGCCAACAGTTTGGCGCAGAAGAACAAGGCTGCCTCGTCCGACTACAATGAGCGTGTGGTTGAGTGCCGCCTGGCAACGCGTTGGCTGGCCAGGCACAAGAATCTAAGCAATTGGCAGAGCATCGTCCGGTTCATTGACCTGGAGGAGGCCTGCGGCATGGACAATGAGACGTTTGAGAATTTAATTAAAGAGAAGCTGACTAAATGGGTTTATACGCGAGCCGATATCTGCCAGGAATGGGGAATCACAGAGCAGGAGCTGGAGACCAAGTTCCTCACGGCCAACACGCAGCACATGCAGGAGTTTAAGCTGCGCCAGCGTGCCCTGCATGTTATTCAGGGTAAGTGGACCGGACCCAAGGTTATGCTTTGAGAGTTGTATATTTTATGGCATTCCCACAGAATCTGGACGCGTGGCCAAGTTCCGTAAGATTTGTGAGCAGCTAGCGGAACGTAGCAGCGAGGAAGATGTAAAGAAATTGGGGCTGCTCATGCGACAATCTCACGAGAGTCTGCGCGAGCTCTATGAATGCTCCCATCCAGATGTGGAGCGTCTGATTGCCATATCCGAAAAGCAGAATGTCAGCGCTCGCGTTACAGGAGCCGGGTGAGTAACAGCACCATGACCTATCCCTATCCCTATCCCTCAGAGTCTCACCAAATCGTATTCCTTCAGTTGGGGTGGCTGCATTGTGGCCATGTGCGATTCCCAGGAGGAGGCTGAGGTGTACATAAAGGCTTTAAAGCGGGACTACTATGCTCAGTTGCCGCCCCATCTCTTGGAGCGCCATCAGCCAAATGATTTCAACGAGGTTGTGTTTGCCACACTCCCGGGCAATGGGGCCGAGCTGTTTGTGCAGTGATTCATTGTGTCTCCCTCCTCTACATCAGCATCAGCTATATCCAGCAAAATCTTTGTGTAAAAAGCCCTTTTATGTGGAACTTTATTAAGTTCCCCCCGGTGTCAATCCACCCAATCGAAATTCATATTAAAAATAATGTTTTATCTTTATGTATGTATGTATGTACAATATATTAACAATTTACAAACTAAAATACAACAAGGCACGTGGGAAACGGAACTCCATTCTTCTCAGTAGATTCCTACATCTGTGAGTGCATTTCTATCTGCGACTCAGCCAGCCGGCATTCTTGAATAGTTTATAGACCTGGTCCCTTGGAATTTTCTCCGCCTCGCGATGCACTACGGCCATTTCCTTTGTGGTGAGGAGCGACGCCTTGGCCAGATTGGCGGCTATGACCGGATCATTGAAGAATCGTGCACTCTTCGACAGCTCGGCAGGAAGCTCCGACTCCCATTGGGCGTTGCGCACCACCGAGGGATGAGCATCGGCAGTGGCATATCCCTGGTATGGATTGGCCGGCTCATACGAGTGTGTCGAAGGCAGACTACCCAATGCCTGATGGTAGAAGAACTGAGCCTGGACACAGCTCAATGCCAGAGCGAGGCATCCAGCGAAGAACGCGACTTGGCAGGCAGTCAACATGATGGAGCTACAAGGAGTTCGATGAGGGTGTGAAGGGGATGGAGAAGGAGTTGGCATTATTGTTAACGTTCTAATAAACTGATACGGACATATTTATTGCCGCTGGTCAGTGGCAGTTTTTAATCTACAAGTCGGCTGTCAGTTTCGTGCGTCATAAATTATGTGCAGGAAAATCAATTATCGCATATGGCGGGGACCCGCGGAGTGGAAGGGGCCGCTGCAGAGCCCAGAGATCTTGGCTTGTAACGCAGCGATCCAGTTGCTGCTAATCCATGAACTTTTTGCAACTGGAACTGGCTTTTTTATTGATAAGAATTCGACTGGCAGCGAGCTGAATGGCAAGCTTTAATTGTCAAGCGTGGAGTGTTCCAATTTAAATTGAACAAAGCAATCAAATGCTCTCTAGATGGCGATACAGTGGGCTCTCAGGGATTGGCAATGGCATCGTTTATAGATATTTGGGGGGGTGGTAAAAAGATTCTCGAGCATTGTAAATGGTTTTATACTCTTGATTGGGTGCACTTTTGGAGCGGCCACTGTACAGGCGTAGTCACTGGTAATTATGCGCCATAAAAATGCATTTACATATTCACAGTGGAGAGTCCACGCCAAAGTCAAGGCTAAGATCCCACACACATACGCTACCATGGTATAATTTCGGTTCTTTATAGCGATACACCCACGCACACTGCACTCACATCGATTCGGATTCGGGTTTGGATTTGGATTTGGCTGAGGATTAGGATTAGGAGAAACACTTGAACCGAAAATGAAACTGAAACTGGAACACCTGGGTCTGCGTGAAGTTGAGACTGTAAACTGATCATAGAATAACGCGGCAGCGAACTTTTATTCGCTTGCCGTTGAATGCCACAGAAACGAGTTGAACTCAAGCTCGGCTTCGAGTCGCAGCGCAGCACCCAAACACGCTCAAAGTCATGTCTCTGAGCCAGGCCACCAGAAAATGAGTCAAGTTGGGTTTTTGTTGTGTGTTGTTTACTGGCGGGCTGCTTTAAATTTTATTAAGTTAATTATGGCCAGAGCGGATGGGGGAGAGATTCAGAGCTACTTTTACGCTCGATTCGAGTGCAATTGCAAGTGACCTAGGCCTAGGCAATATGCTTGAGCAATTAAAAGCAATGATATCGGTGTCTCCGTTTCTCATGCTCCATAAAATGCCCCCCAAAAAAGGTCGCGTTGCGTTGCGTTGCGTTGCCTGCCGGCAGCGGTTACGCATGGCAAAAGTCGCACAGCTACAGATACGAGTTCGAGTTCGAGTACGAGATACTCGAGTACAAAGATTACAATGTTCAGTTGGGTGATTGACGGGTTTGGTTAGAATCCAAAACGAAACAATGTGCGATTTTGAAAGTGTGATTGACCCTGAAATTAATGCCCGCCTCTGACTGTGACTCTGAATCCGATCAGGAATCTGAATCTGAATCTGAGTCTGGTGGTTGCACATGTTTGACCCTAATTTGCTATGGTTATTAATTTGGGGTTATTCAACCGATCCAACCGATCTGATCTGATCTGTTAAGGCGGAAGCATTAGACGCGGGAGTTTTTGGCCTGCACACTGATTGCTGGCTGAGTACAGCCTTGAACTTTCCCGAGCTCAGGTGCGTATCTTGGCTTGAGGTTTGGTATTTACATTGTCTGTCTGGGCTTCGTTTGGGTCGTTTGGGTCTCAGGGAGTGGTCGCTCATTTATTGGCCGTGGCGAATTTGATATTTAATTAATGGCCATTTAGCCACATTTGTAGTTGCATATTAAATAAACAAATTGCCCGATCCAATCCGACCCCGTGCATTGTCTGCTGTTAATGAGCTTGGTCTTTGAACTTTATTAGGCTTTGTCTGGGCTAAAGACCAACCAGAATCGAGATGAGCATCGTATGCCATCGAAAATGTTTATAAGAAACCATTTCCATGAATTAGAAATGCTTTGCATTTATTTATTAGACTCGTAAACTGCCTCGACCCACACGCAGCGCGCCCACCAAGGACGTCCGATGTAATTTCAAGTGCAAGCATTTGTGGCCGGGTCGGGTCCCAATGCAAACGACTCTATCGGGGCAATGCGGCGTGCGAGCAACAACATCCGCTTTGGGCAGGCAGGCAGGCAGGCAACACATTACGTATACGCACCAAGTGCCGCCACCACTCCCCGGCAAGTGAAAGTGCTCGGATGTGACCTTGAACGAGGCAGGGGTAGGTAGGTAGACACCACATGCACCAACACATCCACATCCACTGTTTACCGGCTTTCAAAAGTCAATTCCATTTCCAATTGAGAACTGAGAGAGCCAGAGGCATGCTCATTTGCGGCCACTGTCCGCCAGGTGACGCCATGCAGTCGTGAGAATGTGAGAAAAACTGCAGTGCAGTGCAGTGCGGAGAACTGCAATTGGATAAACCATAGCAAAGCAGCGATTCACTCAGTTGTTCGCCGTGCAGTTCGGCGCGCGGTGGTGTGTCGTCTCTCTGTCGCTTTTTGCACAAAAGTGCTAACCAAGCAGAACCGCCTACCCGTACCCGTACCCGTACCCCAAAATAAAACCACATAGAGGGAAAAGAAGAACAACTGACATTTTGGTACAATTAATAAAAAAAGTGACCTGCCCTCAATTCGGATGTGTGTCATGTCTAAGCAGGTCCCAAGAAAATGCTGCAGAGGCTGAAACTGTATGCGGCTACTTATTTCGGCAGCAGCTTCCCAGCCAGAGCCACAACAGCCATTACCAATCAATCAGTCAAGCGAAATGGAGACAATGGCTGCCGCTCCACCAACAGCAGGACCTTCGAATGGCGGCGGCGGCGGCGGCATGGCAATGGCAATGGCCGTCACCATGGGCGTCATCAATCAATACGAGGAGAATGTCGAGCATTTGCGGCAGTTGTTCAGCCGAAACAAATTGGTGTCCTTTAGCATTGACCACATCGCGTGCAGTGCGGGCAGCAGCAGCGGCGACAACTACATGTCCGTGGTGAAGCGGGTGACCATAAGCCAGGATCAGGAGCAGGAGCAGCAGCAGCAGCAGCCAGCAACCAGGGAAGCGGGTAAACCACAAGCTCTGCAGAGGGCATCAAATAGTCCATTCCATGCAGTTTGTTTGTTCATTTTTGTTTGCTTTGCTGAGCGTCAGAGCCAGCGGCGGGCGTCGAGTGAAGTGACCTTGTTCCACGCATTCTAAATGCATTGCACTTGCACCACCCATACGTCTACGTATACGTAATATAGATTCGCTAAAGGTCAGCACGCACACGCGCTCGCTCTTTACCTCTCTCTCTCTCTCTCTCTGCGGAGAGAGAGAGTACATGTGTGTGTGTGTGTGTGCGAGGCATTTCATTCATAAATTTTACTACGCGGCGTAAACAAACGTCAGCTGTTCCGTTCCGTTACGCTCTCTCATGCTATTTGCTGCTCTTTGGTTTCTCCTCCCTCCTCCTCCTCCCATTAGTTACGGTTATTGTGAAGCGTCAGATTGCGAGTCTGTCACGCCGGCAGCTATACCGCTGCGAGGAGGCCTTCAGCAATGAGATAAACGCCTACCGGCATCTGGTGCCGCTGCTCCGTCGCTACAGCCAGCAGTCACTGTTCCCGCTGTGCCACATCGCCGAGAGCCACGACCAGAGCGAGACCGGGGAGCCCATCATTGTGCTGCAGGATCTGAAGGCTCTGGGCTACCGGATGAGGAATCGACTGGAAGGGCTGGAGCTGGGGCACTGCCTGCTGGTGATGAAGGTGAGGACTGACATGCCACTGCCGCATAATTAAAGATCGTCCTTTCAGAAACTGGCACAAATGCATGCCGCCTCCCTGGCTGCCCAGCAGCTTGAGTCTGCCTTGTTCGCCGCTCAGGTCGAGCACATGAGTGAGATTGTCTACTGTGAGGAAGCGGCCGAGTTCTATTCCACCATACTGGACACCTCTGTGCAGCAGGCCTTGGACAGTCTCAGCTCCTCGAATGCAGATGGAAGTCTGACCACACCCATCTGCCTCATTGAGGAACTCCGACCGACGCTCTTCGAGCATCTGCAGCGGAATATAAACGCGGCAGCAGAGGCGCCATTCAGTGTTATCTGCCATGGGGATCTGTGGGTGAACAACATCATGTTCCGCTCCCAGCCCGAGGAAGTCATCTTCTTCGACCTGCAGGCCATGCGCCGCACTTCGCCCGTCTTCGATATACTCCACTTCATCTATACGAGTACGCGTAGGCGTCTGAGGGATGACCATACGGACACTCTGCTGGCTGCCTATGCGGAGGCCCTGGCCCACGAACTGAATCAACAGCTCAAGCACACGCCGGCGGCAAAGCAACTGGATGTGCTATGCGACACGTTCTCGTTGCAGCGACTCACCTCAGAGTACGTGCTGCAGGTGCACTACGGCCTGGCCATCGGCATGTGGATACTGCCAGCGGTCACCTTTGATCCGAACAACCTACCCAATCTGGATGTGATGAGCGAGCAGAACCTAACCGGCAAGGAGATTAAATGCACTCAAACGCTTACGTCGGAGTACCATTTGCGGATCAAGGAGCTCGCGATGGAGTTCTACGAGCGTGGCTATCTACAGAGTCAGAGGACAGCAATGTAAGAGTATTCTTAGTGATGTATTCTTAGGATTAATGTATCTTATAGTGTAGTTGTAGTGTGAGCAATAAAGGGCCACCAAGTGGTAATGTAATCTGTTGTAGGTTCCTTTATTACCAAATAATTGTTCACTTTTTAACTTAAAAATGTTTCGTAGAAAATCAATATTTTGTTTATACAAAAGCCGGGCGTGGGTAAAAGCCAAAACAAAGAACTCATAAAGAACAGCGGACACATCTGCGCTGGGACATGGGTCTGAACTCTTTATAAGTGCAACATTGATGAGTGGAATTCCAGAAGAGTGGGCCATTGGATGCAATCTCACTTGTTGCCGCCGCCGCCCCAGCCCAGGAATCCCTTGACGAAGCCAGTAATGGAGGCGCTCTTCTTGCCCTCTGGCTCCAGCTTGTCCTCCAGAGAGGGCAACTCCACGTAGTTCATGGCCAGATCGAAGAAGAGCGGCTTGCACGGTATCGGCTCCATCTCGGGGGTGAGCTTGAACACATTTGGTGTCTTGGTGTGGAGCGATTGGTCTTCCTTGTATTGTGACAGACGCTCGTAGAGCGGTTTCGTTGTTTTCTGCGCCTTTGTGGTGGTGCCGGCCTCGCTGTTGTCGTCCTCCAGCACACTGTATGCGTGGGCAGAGAACTTGCAGCCATCGATAATGGACACGAGCGTCTTAAGCTCCGACTGCTGCTGGAACTCCGGGCTGGCTTTGCCCTTCAGCGCCTCGTTGGCGTAGTTGGAGGCGCGCTCGTACAGCGCCACTGCCTCCTTCCACTTCTTCATATCGATCAGCGTCAGAGCAATGTAGTAGCAGCGGAAGGCCTTGAAGGTGATGGCCAGATTCTCCACCTCACTTTGATACTTGGCATCCTCCTCCATGCCGTTGATTTGCTGCATCTCGGTGACATTCTGCAAGATGATTTCGTAGAGGCGGGCAAGATCCTGTGATCGTACGCGTTTGCCATCGCCAACAATTTCCGACTGCTGGTTGGGATCGACAAAATTGAGCTTGGCCTGCAGAGAAAAATCATCGTTAATGGTGTACACCACGTGCTGGACGATTTGTAGCCTTACCTGCTCCACAAGGCACAGATTACGTTGCAGTGTCCGGCTATGGCGAATGTAACTCAAGTAGGCCAGTAAATACTGCACGCCAGAGACTGTCTGCCCGGTTGTCAATGAACGCAGCTTGGGGTCCTGCTTAATCTCATCGCGCACCGCCTGTATGGCGTCCTTGCAGTCCATCAGGATGCGCTCAATCAGCTCTATCTTGGCATCCAGCTTGGTTGCCTTGGCCAGCGACTTGTCCAGCTCCTGGGCACTCAGCAAGAATAGTCGTACCTTCTCCGGACGCACAGTGACCTTGCGGCCACGCCAATCAATCGTCTGCAGTCCCTCGCTGCTCTCGGTTTTCGTCTGGCTGACCAGCACATCCAAGTTCTCGAGGACGCCTTGGGCGCGTAGCTCCAGAATCTCATCGAGATCGCCGCCACTGGCTCCTCCGCTGATGTTGTAAGCGCAATAGCGCAGATTCGGTGTAAACTCGTTTACCTTGGCCCGATACAGTTCCTGCTCATCGTCGGGCAAGGCCGCGGCAAGGTTCTCGTACACGACCTGTGCACGCTTTAAATGCTCACCGGCTGACTTCCATAGCTGCAACTCGAAGTGCAGGCTGCCGTGCATCCAGGCCACATAAGCCTCACACTCCAGCTTGGTGCGGGCATCAAAGGCATCCGTCTGAGAGAAAGACATTGATTACAATAAGAAAAGCCATATTTTATGCCATTAATTACATTGCACAACTCCTGCAATTGCAGCGCATAGAAGCACGCCCTCCTCAGTTTGCTGATCAAATGGAAACGCTTGCGCGGCTCCGTGTTCGACTCCTGTTTCAGCTGCATGGCATAGGCCCAGGCCCGCTCGGCACTGATCAGTGGGATATGAATGTAGCGTTCATCCGCCTTCTTGCCTGTCAACTGGCTAAGGGTTACATCGCGTCGCTTGAAGTGTCGCTTGTCGCCCTGCGGGTATTTCAATGCCTTGCGGAGCCGACGAATACGACGGGTGCAGTAGCCACGATACCGCTGGAAGTCGCCGTGACGGAGACCATGCTGCTGCTGTGCATCCTTGATCATGTGCAGTACTGCAATTGACAGTGAAAGTTCAGTTTCAGTACATTAGCATAGAAACTTTTTAGTTGAACGGATCCAGCGCCGGTATGTGGGGGGCTGTGCACTTACTCTCAACCTTAAATATCTTGACTGGCTCTGCCACAACTGTCCCAGCTTCAGTTTTCTCCACATTTTTCCCAGAATTGGGATTCTCCTCTTGGACGACCATATTTTCCAGACCAGACCAAATCAACGACGTGTAAAAACTAGAGGTGTCAGCCCGAGCAGTGTGCAATATCGATAGGTATCGGTGGTGCATATGCTTGCATGACACTAGATAAAGATCTCTCTTGTTTTGCGTGACAGTCCTGAAAATTGTATTTTTCTTTCTGGAATAAATTTTGAAGCATTTGGGGGCTGTTTGACATCAAAATTGCAGTTTAAAACTTATATTAAAATAGTAAATCCCGCTATCGATACGCCGAATTCTGCATTGGTGACGATATCGATACTGATGAGTACTATCGACTTCGATAGTATCCTCTCTTTCGAAACTTTGGCTGACACGCGTGTGTTTGTCTGTTTTACAACAATTTCAGCCTAGTTCGCAGGTAAATTAATAACAAATCAGTTCACTGTCGGCCCATTCACATGAGACAGAGGTCAGTTTGTGACATTTTGAGAAAATGGGCAGTGGAAATCGTCACGCTTTGAGGTTATACTTTCACTAAATAGGTGGAAATAGCCCCGCAGCTGGCTCCCCACCTCAGCCCCTTCACCCACAAGGGCGTGCGGTGCACCAGCTTTGTTTTGACGTCTGGCCGATTTGCAACGTGGATTTGATAGTGATTTCGTGAGACTCGGACTAATTTTCATTGCCCTTGCAGCATGTCGCGCAGAAAAGACAACGAGGAGGTCGACAAGCAGACGCGTATTGCCATTGTCAGCGATGACAAGTGCAAGCCGAAACGCTGTCGGCAGGAGTGCAAGAAGACCTGTCCGGTGGTGCGCATGGGCAAGCTCTGCATCGAGGTGGCACCCACGTCGAAGATTGCTTCTTTGTCCGAGGAGCTGTGCATCGGTTGCGGTATCTGTGTGAAGGTGGGTCATTTACCTCTTGCCCTCCACGAGCACTCAGTAATGTAACGAATTTCCTCCTCAGAAATGTCCCTTTGAGGCCATCACAATCATCAACCTGCCCAGTAACCTGGAGAAGCATACGACGCATCGGTATAGCAAAAACTCGTTCAAGCTCCATCGCCTGCCCATACCGCGACCCGGCGAAGTGCTCGGTTTGGTGGGCCAGAACGGTATTGGGAAGTCAACGGCTCTAAAAATTCTGGCGGGCAAGCAGAAGCCCAATTTGGGCAAATATCTCAACCCACCCGACTGGACGGACATCCTAAGCTACTTCCGTGGCTCCGAGCTGCAGAACTACTTCACCAAGATTTTGGAAGACAATCTGAAGGCCCTGGTGAAGCCGCAATACGTCGATCAGATCCCCAAGGCAGTGCGTGGTACTGTTGGCGACTTGCTGGATAAAAAGGATGAGCGCGAACTGCAGACATCGATATGCAATATGTTGGACTTGTCACACATTCGGGACCGTGAGATCTCCCAGCTCTCTGGTGGAGAACTGCAGCGCTTTGCCATTGCCATGGTATGCATACAGAATGCGGATATTTTCATGTTCGACGAGCCGTCCTCGTATCTGGATGTAAAGCAGCGTCTGAATGCTGCCTTGACCATCCGTTCGCTGCTGCATCCCACAAAGTAAGTGAAAGATCTGTGATAGAACTCCAGTCGATAACCAGAATTGTCTCTGTCCAGGTTCATCATCGTAGTGGAGCACGATTTGTCTGTGCTGGATTACTTGTCGGACTTTATTTGCTGCCTGTATGGTGTGCCCGGCTGTTACGGCGTCGTTACTATGCCCTTCTCGGTGCGCGAAGGCATCAACATTTTCCTGGACGGCTTTGTCCCCACCGAGAACATGCGTTTCCGCACAGAGTCCCTCACGTTCAAGGTGTCAGAATCGGCTACGGAAGAGGAAATCAAGCGTATGAACCACTACGTTTACCCCTCAATGGTGAAAACGTTGGGCAAGTTCGAGCTGACGGTGGAGAAGGGTCATTTCAGCGACTCTGAGATCCTGGTGCTGCTCGGCGAGAACGGTACTGGCAAGACAACGTTCATTAGGCTGCTGGCCGGTAATCTGCAACCCGATGGCGAGGTGGATCTTCCCATGCTCAATATTTCCTACAAGCCGCAGAAGATTTCCCCGAAATTCCAGAATCACGTTCGTCATTTGCTGCACGATAAGATTCGCGATGCCTATGTGCATCCCCAGTTCATTGCGGATGTGATGAAGCCCATGAAAATCGAGGAGATTATGGACCAGGAAGTGCAGAACCTCTCCGGTGGTGAATTGCAGCGTGTGGCATTGGTTCTCTGTCTGGGCAAGCCGGCAGATGTCTACCTCATTGATGAACCCTCCGCCTACTTGGACTCAGAGCAGCGTCTGGTGGCTGCCAAGGTTATCAAGCGGTACGTCACATTGTGATTACAGTTTCGTAACCCAATTGATATTTACACTATGCTCACTTTGCAGCTACATTTTGCATGCCAAGAAAACCGGATTTGTGGTGGAGCACGATTTCATTATGGCCACATACCTCGCGGACCGTGTCATTGTAATCGAGGGCCAGCCTTCGGTGAAGACGACTGCTTTCTCCCCTCAATCGCTGCTGAATGGCATGAACCGATTCCTCGAACTTCTGGGCATTACGTTCCGTCGCGATCCCAACAACTTCAGGCCCCGCATCAACAAGAACGCTTCGGTCAAGGATACGGAACAAAAGCGATCTGGCCAGTTCTTCTTCCTGGAGGATGAGGCTCAGTGAGGATCGGATCCACCAGCGCAATGCCGAAAGCTTCCATTGGGCAATTTTCCTTTTGTACCATTCTCTATTCTCCTGTGCTCTGTTTGCATTCTTTAATCTAAAAAACACATTTGCTTACAACTTATTTTGTTATTGTTGACGAACTTGAGTTTTTTTTAATCTTTTACTTGATTAAAGTGAGTTTTTATACACGTATTAGCAGCGAAAATAAATAATAAGTCCAAACTATGTGAAAGGACGGTTGTCCCAAGGGAGCCTGTGAAAAATAAATCAATTTACTCTAGAGAAACCGGCAAAACCAAATGAGTTTAAACAAAAATATATTAATTTAAAATTTGTGTATAAAGTTCATGAAGCAACAGGTGGCCGCATGTCACTTCGGTGACAGAACTGCATCAGGTTGGGCGCCAAGAAAGAGAAATATGAAAGAGTAAGCAACTTCTGCAAATTAACACGTATTTATTGCACTTTACATTAATTACACAAAATACGCACAATAGAAATATAAATATAGATACAAATTACATACGATACAAATTTCTCCGATTTCAGTTACAATCACAATCCGAAATAAACACACAATATGGATAACACTTACGAATGTGGCATAAATGTATAATGTACAATACAATATATATGTTTATACGAACGCATGCACAGCATAATTTGTTTTCTGTAAACGCTTTTGAAGCTTTAGATTTATCCGATTTAATCAAATGTACATACAAATGTTTTGAAAAGGCAAATTTTTGTTAGTTAAATTCATAATACTAAATTTGATCGGATCGGCGGCTTAAAGACCAATATTAAACACTGATAAGTACTATAAATATGTAAGTTAATGTTGAAAAACTTATGTGCTAATAATTTCCATAAAAGTAAATGCGTCAAAAATTGACTCAATATTAATCATTTGATAGTTTTTGCCATGTGCAGTTTTAGGTTTCAGTTTTTGCGGATTCTGAGTAGAGAGCAGCCATTATCTTCGTATGTCTACTATAAATTGAGTTGTTTCGATCCAAAAGCAGATCCTATGGTTTAATCCATCAATTCGGTTCTTTCTTCAGCATAATTTGTTGTAAATGGAACTTTTAGTGACTTAATTGTAGTGTTGCTTTTAAATAATTGTTGAAATCTGGCAACAGAACGTATCAAAAATAAGTGTATGTATATATTATGCAAGAGATAGAGAGCTGTTGAGGTAGCCAAAACTATGCAGTGTCTGCATTGTTCATGAGTGCGCAGACCTGCTGGCCGAGCTCCAAGGCCTGTTTGCGCAGTTTGAGGGCCTTCATAGAGGAAACAAGATAAGAAGCATATGGATATCTAATTATAGACCATGGCATACCTGAGTTCTGAGTTCTTTCTCGCGCGTTACGAGCTCCTGTATCTGCGACATGACTGTTGCCACGCTGCGCTGATCTATCACCCATCGCAAATAGAGTTCTGCAGTTTCAAAGGGAATGCTTAGAATTTGCTAGTAATATTTGAGCTCTAATCACTCACCGCTCCACAACTCCAAGCTAATGGGTGCCACCGATGGCCATATCACATTAGCATTGGGCTCATACAGGGGATTTAGTAGGGTCTGCAGGACATCTGGCCGATTTAGGTACGACCATAAGCTGGTCGTTCGCGTGTGGACATTCAATTCGTTCCGCTCCCGCTCTGAGTCGCACAGGAAGGTGCCGTATTGCGAGAAGTAGCTATGCTCGAACAGCAATATCAGCAGCTGCGTGCTAAACTCAAAGCTGCAGGGGAACTGTGTGAACAGCTGGTAGATGCAGTCCAGGAACAGCACAAAGGTGGCCCCAGAGGTCTTGTTGCGCGTCTGGTGCGGCGTGTAGCAGGAATAGCGGTGACGAGAGGCGAACGGATGTCCCGCCTGGATCCATTCGCGTTCTATCAAAGCCTGCAGTCTAAAATGGAGAATAATTACAATCATCTTTGATGCCATGGGGTTTGTCGTGGCCAGCTCACCCTCTGACGGTGCGGCAATCGGGATTCAGTATTATCTGCACAAGCGAGGTGACAATCAGTGTCGAGTCCAGGCCTTTGGCGCCATGCACCAAGACAGGACTGCCTTCTTGGTCCAGGCACTGGGCCACCACACAGGAGGCGTTCAGGGAGTTCAGCACCAGACTTAGCCAGCCACTGCCCTCGAGGCGCGATAGCCATTTATCCGTGCTGCAGCCGGTGTCATTGCAGGCATCGATCAGCTTCGCGAAGCTGTCCAGTATGGAGGCGGGGGAGCTGACGTTGCCAATCGATCGATTCACCTTCTTCCACTGCGAGTAATGGAGATCCGTTTCCGTGTTCGACTTGCCCTTGCCCCAAGTGTCCACAATGAAGCCCTTTTTGCTGCGTCCCAGCACAAGGTTCAGTATCGCCTCGTCCGCGCGACACCGCTTTATGCCCTGGATGGACAGGGGCTGGGAGCTGCGCATCAGCGTGGCCTGGCAGGGGATAAATTGCATTACACGAATCGAATTTAAGTCTATTAACTTACGCCATTGTCGTGCCTGTAGCTGAGCACGGGGAAGCGGCCGCCATCCCGAAATGAGGCGGAGAGCACAATTTGCTCGTCCGTAATTGCTTTAGGTACAATTAGCGTGGCGCCATATGTGGCACAGACGCTGAAGTCTTTGTTGATGTTGGTGACTCGCCACTCGCAGGCGGGTACTGTGGCACCACTGCCACTGCCACTGCCCCCCATCAGTACGACGGCTGCGTCCAGCGCAAAGCCATTCTGCAGGGGATGGGGTATGCTGCCTGCGCCCGCACATACACTCAACGATGACGTCGATGGCATGCAAATTGTTATGTTGGCCACGTTGGGCGACGACACCCCACCCATGCCCACGCCACTGATGAGCTTGGCGAACTCCAGCTCCGGCCTGGGCAGAGCAAAATTCAATTATCATCAATTTGTAGTTGTAATTTGCCTGAGCACTTACCTAAACATCGTGTAGCCATCCTCCAGGATGCTGTACATGGGCCGGTAGAAGAACGGGTAGAGCAGCTCCGCATTCTGGATTGCACTGAGCGCCTCCAGGGAGGAGGACACGTTGAAGAACTCTTTGGCGTACTTAATCTCCAGGGAAATAATCCTTAAATCCTTGCACTTGAGCGTGATGATGCCCCCAACGACAACGCTCTGGGCCATGCTCGGTTTCTTCTCCACACAGTCGATGTCCTTGTGCAGCAGCTGGAAGGCAAAAGGGCATGCGGGTTGGGTTGCGGATACAACACAATTCAATTAGCCAGCAACTTCACGCTCCATTGGAGCCGAAACACTCGTATAACCCTTACCCATAGCTCCTGGCTGTTCTCCTGCCGCGCACTGAGCAGCAAATGGTGGCCGGTGATGCAGAGGGTTCCAACTGTTGCTGCATTTGCATGCTGCAGGGGCTGCGGGTCGTGCAGAAAGACCCCGTCCAGCTTGGGGGTCTTTATCAGATCGGCAAATTCCATGGCGCCCAATCCACCACCCCCTTCCAGGAGGGCTCAGGACTAGGCAGCGGGTGTCACGCTGTGCAGTGAACTTCGGGGCGTCCAATTTGATTTCGTTCACACTAATTAACTTTTTGCATTTTGCTTACGACGCTGCTGTTGTTGTTGTTATTATTGCCACTTGATTGCTTCTGGTGCCGCCTCCTTCTATTCCCTTTCCGCTGCCGCGCGCCCTATTCAACGCTTCCACACAAATCTTTGAACCAAACAGCAGTGGAGGCGTCACGGGCGATAGCGCTCCTCTTGCGGATATTGGGCTTGGCTAATATGTGGCACCCACAATGAGTAATAAATAAATTAGTTGCTCGCCACCGTCCGTGCGGCGTAAGATTGCAAAATTATTTCTTTTATTTGTCGCGGATTTATTGATAGACCCTCAGAACACTATCGATTGTCGTTTGTGTACAATATATCGGTATGGGTATCGGGAAATTAAAAAAATATTAATCCATGGGCTATTACGCGTTATTGCTAAATGTTTTTGGGGTGGTTAGCATTAGTATTAGTCCAACCACACGGGCTATAAAATATATTGGATCATTAAGAAGCTCATAGTGTGGGTGCAAGTCGTCGTCAGCTGTAGGGCACGGCCTGTGCAGCCCTAGCTATGCCATCGATACGAAGACATTACTATCGATTGTTGTTCGCTTAGGTCCAGTTTAGGTGCTTACCCTGCTTATCAGGAGCTATAGTTATAGAATATGTAACTATATAACTATAGCTATATATATATAAATTTAATTTATTTAGATACTATCGCTTCGGCAACGATCCAGCCCTAGCGAAAGATCCGTTATGATATGTGTGGTGTGTGTGTGCTTAAATCGCGCGCCAAATCGGCTTAAACTCACGTTCGAACTAAACTAACTACGTACAGCAACTACGTAACGTACCGTTAACTTAGTAACTATCTAGTCCCAGTAGTTACCTGAAGTGGAACAACAGCCCGATTAGTTCTAAACGAATCCTGATTCTTCATAAGCTGTAATAATGAGTCAGAAGAGATACATTGAGTCCTGGTTGGCCAGTCAAGACCCACACCCATCAAGAAATACAATAGTTTTAAAATATGCAACTATATATTTATTCACACATAAAAGTAGATTTCAAAAGGTTTGTTTACAAAAAATAGGGCATTTTCCTTTGATTCTCACTGTTTTACCAGCCACAACACTCGTTTGTCCTTCAATTAAGGCTTATAAGCATAGGGGGTGTTTCGAAACGAATTCTTGAGAATGAGAAACCTAATAGAAAATTGTACTCAATAATTGTTGTTTTGGAAAAGATTGCTTCTCTGTTAATTGTCACAATACGAATAAAAATACTCAACAGCTTTAACGCACAATGAACGTATTTCAAATACGCATTAATCAATCAATCAATTAACCAACCAACACACACATATCCAAACACACTCAATCATATCATACGATATCACAACATTATCCGACAGATATACCTAAAGCACAAGAATTGAGGTACTAAGTGGAAGGAAATACAAACTGAAAAAATAACTGAAATGAAACAAAATAATAATCCATTGGCGATACGCTTTATTTTTTTTACGCTAGAAAACATATCTCTAGTTCTGTGTGTGTATATGTAATGTAT